CAATTACTTGGAAGCACCATGAGCGCTCAATTCTAGCCATAGTCCAGCAATAGAATGCAAGAGTCCACATCTGCAGCACAAGCTACTTCCTGATTCTACCCTGAAGGCTCTTTCAGGGCCCAAGCCATCATGAGGAACTCCAGCACAGTTCGCCAGGCGTTCCCTAGGACCTGTTGGCAAAAGATGCATCGCATCAGGGGAGGTCCGAGTTGATGTCAAAAGAGCCCCGAAGCATCGAGGAGAACATGGTCAAACATGTTGAGACACAGTTGATGCAATTGCGACGTCTGAGATCCTTCGAACAAGCAGCCTAGAAAGCAATTTCTCCAATCAAAAGCTCCAGAGGTGCCTCGCCCACAATGGCTGAAAGTAGCTCCTGGTCGGCTAGGCAAGGCCACTTAGTTACGAACAGGTGACGGTGGGTAGATGCTGCTCCAGCAATCGACCTCCCAATTCATTCAACACCAAGACCATCTTGTGTCTGAAAAAGTCCAGCGCCTCATCCACTTATGCGCCAGCCGTTGCAAACGCAGCATCTGTCCTCCACCTTCTCCAGGGCGTTTTGGGAAATGTTCTGAGCGAGACGTGGCTGCGACCCTTTTGCAGCTACGCTACAAGTGACCAGACGCCACTTCCAGCGCCAGTCTGAGTCTCATCTAGTATGTTCGGCAAACAGGACGTGGTGCGAGCTTTAGACGGCTCACCATGACGACAACACGTCAACCCCTCCGGCATGAAACCACGAGGCGCCGGCCTCTGCCACGCTCTTTGGCATGGAGCCTGGGATTTGCACACCCCGAAGCCAAGCACATTTTCGTGAACCCCAGAACTCTTTCTCCTTGCGGCTGTTGCAACGCGTCTCAGTCCACATAAGTACACAACAGACGAACAGGTCAGGAGGTGGACAGGCATCCCCCCAACAAAACACACTGACACTGACAGGAACTGAACTGGGTGCATCCGGCCAGTGAGATGCGCCACAGCGTTCTGCACCGCTTGCGCAACCTGCACACACACACACACACACAACGGACAAAACATCAAGCAACATGCAAGAGCTCTGCTTCTGAGGCGGCTGCATTTTCCGCACCTTTCTTGTAGACCATCCAATCATCCTGTTGAGGTCACAAAGCAAATAGTTGCAACTCAGGGCAGGTTCGGCGACTCGCGGTCCTGCAGTCTCAGAACTGACTGCACCACCTGAGATTGGGAAAACCTTCTTCACTAATGGTTTGAAATGATGGGATGACTTCCCAGGCTGGAAAGCCCCCTTGCGCACCCTGCAAGCAAGGAAAGGACAAACCTCCTGCAGCGCCGTGTCTGTGAAACCAGGCCATGAGGATAAAGCCACCCACGGCGCAAACCACTGCAGCCACAACGATGGCGATGGCCACCTCAGAAATTTCAGCCGTGCGCTTGGAACGTTGCTGTATTCCGCCTTGTTGCTTTGCAGCCTTTTGCAGGATGGACCAAGTACAACAGGTGACTTTCATGGCTTGCACGGGCGAGTCGCTCTTGTAATCTATGGTGATCTATGGTGATCAAATGCTTGGATTTGCTACGCGATGTGCGAGGAGCGGCCCAATCTCTGAACTGAGGCCGCGACACCATGCAGCAGCATTCGCATGCAAGGCCGAGCCCGCGCCTAGCTCCATGGTGAAGGCCACATTTCTAAGGTAGCTTCCAAAAGGGCGCCAGCGGTCGTGAGTCAAAGCCGTCGATTTCTCTCAAACGAAACCAACTGCCGATATCATTCTGCCGATATAACCCCAGCCAATATCACTCTGGGCGTCAAATGTTCGGCAGCCGGAACAAATTGGCTGGAGAACATTTAAGGCTAAGGTGTGAGGCGTAGAAGCAAGAGGTGCAATACGGGGAGATCTCCTGGATTGACATGCCGCATGGCGAGCATTGCCGTCTTGCAAACTGCTGCGCAGCGGTGCTGTAGGAGCTCCAAGGCGGCCAGCTGCACTATGTGCGTGCTGGTTGTTTTGGCGTATTTTATTTATACATATATATATATATCACCCCCGGGGGTTCTGAAGCTCGCAAGGGCAGCATTTGTTTCCTTAGGATCTCACGGGAATTGCAACAACGGACCGAGTTTGCCAGTCACCAGATTCTTGGCTCTGATCACAATGTAAGGCGGACGATTCTTCTATTTTGCCCTTCTTGGAGGAGTCGTTGGCAGGCAATGCCCTGCACCTGGCTTGTCACGTGACATGGATAGCCTATCGCCCAGGTGAATATGAAGTGTATACATATATGTCATGGTGGTTGTTCTAAATTCCTTGGCTTCGCGAGAAATACCTACTTTCGTGAACCTTTGGCGGTTTCATCGCCGTGCACTTTTCATTGCTAAAGTCAGAAACTCGCAGCTTATAAGTACTAGTGATGAAGACCTAAGAGGGGGTGACAAACCTATGGCGGCCACCGGACCCTTTCACGCAAAGTGAGGCTGCGGTGTTTGGTCAATCATGCACACCCCCAAAATGTCAAACGGTGGAACCATTTGTCAATAGTGTAGTACGCGAAATGCGCTTCCGCAACGCCAGCTGTAAAGTCGCAACTTTTCAGCACCGGCTGGAAGATCGCAACGTTTCAGCGCCAGGGCCTGAAATTCACTTCCGCAGCTCCAGCTGGTAAGATGCAACTGTTCTGTTCAGTACAAACACAGTACACGAAATGCACTTCCGCAGCTCCAGCTGGCAGTCGCAATGATGTCTCTTGTTAACGTCCGCTGCAAGAAACATGCGATGGAAATAGGAGGAATCATTAGAGTTGAGGCTGAGAGCTTTTGAATACTTTTTGAATGAGCTTGAACAATACCCATAGATTCACTCGACGGATGATTTGCTTCTATCTAGCCACCTAATGTGCTCGCAGCGGCCTGGTAACAGCTTTCAACGTGACGCCTTTTTGTGCTTTTTTTCGCTGTGAGGCATAGAGCTTTCCACGTGGCTTTTGCCATACTCTTAAGGAAACTGCCCAACGCCACCGTGAAAACACGTCAAGCGAAGCTCTGGTATTGCAAAATCAAATCTTCCGAGGCCAAGGGGCGCAAGTGGATCTGAGAAGTTGCGAAAACGGCAATTGTTCGGCAAGCATGACACATTACTCCACTTTCACGCGAAAAAAACACACCACTGTATGCTTCTTTGTTCTTGCGAGCGGCCCGATTTCCCACGTATTACCCCGCAATTACCCAAAAGGGATCGTCGGGGGGCACTCAGGGGCATCGACTTTGCGCTACTGGCTTTAACATGCGATGACACACTCAGGTAAACAAAATTAAATGTGTTCTTCGCACCCGTTGCATTTGGATGAATATTGGCGATGACCCCCGAAATTTGCCCAATCCCCAAACATCAAACAATCGTCAATCGTGGCTTCTTAGCGTAGCCCGTATGTGGAAAACTAGGAATGCTCCTACAATCAGTTTCAATCTGAGATCACAAGTCGTTTGCTGAGTGGAGACAAACACTTGACGACTCTGTTCAGCGCACGCGGGGTGTTCATGTCAAGCATGGATTGCTGAGCGCCATGATCCCTAACATGCTGATGTCGCATGTTGCGCTTGTTGCAAAGACTCACAACCACCTCAGTTGAATTTGAGATGCGCTGGCTGCGTTGAAATTTCGGACGGGATCACCAAAATGATGCGGCCTTCAATGTATAGGTTTATTTGTAAGGTAGATTCGTTTTCAACACGCAAACATAAGCGGTCAATGCAGCATGCTTCACAAGAACTGAGCAACCTGCCCCACAGCTGTTTCCGCACGCAGGAACGATACACATAAACAAGCCAAAAGCCCAAAACACAGGGTGTGCTCAAAACCATTTGTTGATGCGCTTTCCTTGTGCCCGCAATGCCCGATTGTCCCCCTTTCAGCACACCCCCCCGCATCAAAGTTTAAAGTTGTAGCTTCTCAGCGAAAGTCGTGCTTTTGGGAAAGTTGTGAACCAGCAACTTTGGTCTTTCAGGTTGTCCGGTTTCTGAAAGGAGGACGGGAAGTGTGTAGAGGCATGTCTCAACAGGCCCGCACCCAGGGCAAAACTGCAGCGCTGGTCGAGTAACGGGCCTGGCTCTCAAGCATGGGTGCTCGATCGCTGGCCTCACAGATTCTCGAGCCAACACAAGGCTTGACTGCGCCAATGCATCGCCCATGCGAGTCAAGTGCAACATCTCCCGTTCAACGCCTTTCGTCCCATACGGCGACATATCAAGCCCAACCTCTCACATCCAAGACCCCGGCGTCTGGTTTCAGACCTCACACACTGCAGTCAAGACGCAAATCAAGGCAGCACTCAGCACTTGCAGGTTGACCCCTTTGCCCCTGGCTTGCGCCTCAAGCCAAAATAATATATTCATCCCTTCTGCGGTGGCTTGCCTCCCCAACGCCCTTGCAAGCTCAAGCCACGGCTCTGTGAGAGCCGTGTCATACCATCCGAACTCCCGAAGGGACAAAGCCGAGCAGCTTTCGTGGCTCCGCTCGGGCCTGTCCTGGCACATCTTGCACAGCACATGCTTGCATTTGCATTCGCCGCATGGTGGCAGAATTTCAATGAACGGATTGAAATTCGATCTCAAGGAATTAGATCCAAATTCACGAAATGGCCGTGGGTCAAAAATAGGAACCCAAAATTGAACCCCAGTACAGTGGTAACATGGACTGAAACCTGCGTTAAAAACTTTTTGACACATACCCGAATATCAAATGGGTCCTCGGGTCCTTTCTATGCAACAGCCAGCGCAATTCGATCGCCTCCTCTGCGGTACCTCCGATCATCTCGGGCCGTGCCTGCGAAGGGGTGACGCTGACACACCAAACTTAAGGCCGGGCTTGCATCCATCCGTGTGCCTATCCGATTTCGAGAGTGTGCTTGGAGTTTGCTGCTTCCAGTGTTTGTTTGGAGAGCCTTGAGTTGCAACTCAGAGGGGACTTTTCCGCCCACTCTCTTAACATCCTCTCCTCTCAGACACTCCCAGCGGCACTTTTCTCAAAACTCTAGCATCCTCCGACCCTCACTCTGCAGGCGGAGCCAGCCCACTGTTGTGTCCTCGGAGACTTCTATTGTCACCGCACTGAGTCCAAGGCAGCGGGTCCCCAGGTCCTTCTTCCCCTTCACTTTGATGAAGCCTGCGCTGGGCATGTCAATGGCGACGAAGGTCTCGCCTTTGCTCACCTGACGCGCTTGACACCAGGCCTCTTCACACACCCCTTTTGCACACTTGGGCAGGGGTGGCTCTCTATGACCAAGACTCCCGCAATAGACATGGAAATCGTGGTGAGTTTCGCTGGTGGGAAATATTCCCCATGTCCCACCATTAGGAAAATTGACTACCGGATACGTTCACATGCCAACTGCAATAAAACCACGCCTGCCGGACCATATCCTCTGAATCCTTCTCCCGACGGAGGACCTGGGGGATGAGCGCCTTGTACTGCCGCGTCCACCTCGGGCAGCTGGCAGGGATCCGTTTTTGGACAACCCCAAGGTAGACTTAAACCCACAAGTTTCCCCTTTGGGGTAAGAGTTTATCTTGGGGTTGTCAAAAAATGGAACCCTGACTGGAAGTCCCCCCCCCGCAACGCTTCGCAACAGGTGGGCTTTGGGACACGCCAAGACGGTGCCCAGCCACGGCTTCACCGCGCTTTTATGCATCTCGACCCAGCCCTCGCTTCCGCTCTGAGACCTGTCGCAAGCATCGCAAGCTTGCGGCAATGTGGCAATGTGGCGATTTTGGGGGTGCCTTAAAATAAGGGACCGCCCAAAATAGTTGGTGTCCTCTTGGTTTCCCTTCAAAACCCACCAAAAATCGGTGCCCTCAAGAAAGACAACCCCATTTGGCAATTTGCAATCGCCTGACTTTGGCCAGGTGCTGGGACGGCGTCGACTCCTCTTTCAGCTCGCTGACCTGGAGGGGTCGGTCAAACAATCAGTTGCGTGATCTGAGACTTCGCTCATTCACTTTGCTGCACATTGGCATGACTGTCGCTGGAGCTGCTTTCCGACCATCTCGGTACTTTTGAAGACTGAAGATCGAAATCGGTATGTCATCTGTCTTCAAAACTTGGCCAGCGTGCATCGTATGCATTGATATTCAACTCTTTGATGATCTCTAAGGGCCAACTGAAGGTTGGGCCATCGAAAGAAACTAGACAAATTTGTTCCCATGTGTAGGCGAAACAACTGGGTTTTCATGCCCCTTGTGCGGAAATCGGAGAGCATGTCTGTCTCCAAATGGATGGCGGACAATTGGGAGGAGTGCCAAAATGGCAGTGTCAACCAGTGTCAACCCCAAAGCGACAGCCCTCCGTTTCGACTCGCCTGTAAGAACTCACCCTCTTTGAGCTCCCTCTTGCCGAGGGTTGTTGCTTTCCGCACCACCTGAGAAAGCCACACACCATCAGGCTACGTCAACTTAGACCTGAATTCCCCGCCTCTAAACTCTCAATCCCCTCCCTCCCGTGGGCAGAAGCCACTCTTGCAACAAGGCGGAGTGCCAAGAAACGTCTCTGTCGGCTAAGGGCTGTGTCCTGGGGAGTTAGACACCTTTCTCGGACCAGGCACGTAGGTCCGCTCGCAGGGCTGCACAAAGACCTCAGCAGGAGCCTTCCGCTTGCAGGCTTCCACGACTTGGAGGGGAATGGGTTGGAACACCCCATTGGGGATTAAAACAAAGCGTGGTACTGACATTGGACACCATCTCCAGCCCAGCTGCAGTGCCAACGTTGCCTTTGACGGTGACCCAGCCAGTCAAGTCAGAGCCGAAGACTTTGCATTTCCTCAGAGCACCCCAAGATGCAGAACTGTTAACAAAGCTATGCGGTGCCAAGCTTCAATCGCATCATCTTTGTGGATGAATCCTCCAGAGGTCCCTCCTGGCGCGAAGTGGATGCCGACCACACAGACCCACTCGCGGGGGCAAAACCCAACAGCTCGAAAGCCGCAACCTACACGCAAAGTTGGCTCAAAGCCCCCATGGACGTCCCCAACCTTCGCGGCTCATGTTTTTTGAGTCCCAGGTCCCTCCCAAATGAAGCATGGACAGCGTCAGGATATATTGCCCGAAGCTCTCCTCCAACTTCAGGCAGCTGCCCTTGGCCACCCTGCCCACGGCTTCACTCTGGAGGCTCAGCTCTCGAGTCAGAGCGGCTGGAGAGCAGCATTTGTACCTTCAGCTCGCGGCTTTGGATTGGGTCAGAGAAACCAGCAAAGAGGTCCGGTACTGTGCCCTGCTCTTAGAGCCGTCCAAGTCATCCCTGTTTGGCAGAATGAGGGTTACGAAGTGAAAACCTCTCGGGAAAAAAGACTGAAAAGGCAGAGGACAAGATGCAGGTCAAGTCTGATGTAGACAAAGAAGCCGAAAGGCAAGGGCAAATTGCTCTAGGCCGAATTGTCGAGCTATCATTTGGGATCACTTCTTATTGGAATATGAGGTGCAAGCCATGCCAATCAGCTGCTTGTATTGTTTTGTTGCTGTTTTTTTTCCAGAATGGTGAGTTGTGGCTGTTGTTGGCTTTGATCCATTGCATTTGGGGTTGGTATAGGTGTTGGGTAAAGTTGCAGGTGGTTGCAGGTGTGCACATTGGTGTGGAAGATTTGTTTTTTTTCGGGCCGATCTCTGTGATACCATGTAAATAGCCTCTAAGAAGTCTTCTGTTCAATCCCATTCAACGTAAAGCTTAAGTCAGGTGGATGTCAAATGTAGCTTCCCAGCGAAGCGGCAAAGCTGTCCCACTAAGCGCGCTCAAGGCACAAACCCGCTACCTCTTCAGCGTGGACCTCGCCAAATTTGTCCACCACGGTAAACCAGCCAGCTGCATCGTCGGACAGTGCCTCTCCAAGTCATGCTTCTTCCCCCCCAAAAGTGGCATCTGACACATCTGACAAAATCGTCCATCGAATGTCACGCATAGCACACATAGCACGCACCACTGGATACCTGGAATCCGCGCGCCGCCCTGCCACCCTGCCCTGCCTTGCCCTGCGCTTTCTTGGTGATGGCTTGGGTCGACTTGGGTCCCTGCGCGTCACCGCGGCCCCGGAAAAGCGCGCTGAAACCGCGCCGCTCGAACCGCGCTGGCCTCCAGCAGCTCGAGGACTTCGCCGGCTGGGATGGTGGTGCCCTCCATCACCGTCTGGAACCGTTTGGAGAAGCGGAGAAGTGTCTTCGGTTTCTTCGACTCCACGTACGCAAACCCCCAAGGAGCTAAAATGTTGAAGCCCTGTGTTTAAACGGCGACTGGAGTGTCTATGCCCGTTCAATCACGCTTAAATGCAGTCACACTAGCCGCGCTGATACCTATGCTACGGGCAGCACTTGCGGCCCTCTTCTTGGCAACAAAAGCGGGAACATGGCTAAGCAAGTCCAATGCATCGCTGTTTCAAACATTCAAACACATTCAATCTCTGGCTTTCGCAGCCACACCAGTGCCTCTGCAATCTAACATGTCTACTGCCTTCTGCATGCGTCCATGTTGGGTCCACATGTTCAAACAAAACTCACGGAATGCAGAAAACTGCGTGTTTGACGTGACCATGTTTTAATGTGGTGCTCAACAGTAACCTGAGGGACCATGCTTGTGTCCATCTGAGCCGACGCAGCCGGTTCTCACCACACCTCCTCACAGGCCACCAAGAACGGCTTGGACGCTTTCGCGAGGAACGTGGTGCCCTGGTTGCCCTTCACCGTGACCCTGGGCAACGTTCGGACGTAGCAAACTGACAGGGTCGCGCGAATGCGCACTTTTGGGAGGTCCAAAGGGAGGCAGGCGGACAATTGTCGTGAAGAACAGCATGTTCTCAAAAACAATCTAATTGGCCCAGGGTGGAGGGTGGGATTGATGCACCCCGCCGTTGTGCCCATTTTGGCGGACAATCCAATTCATCGCTCAAGTTGGCACCAGACTCATAGTCGCGGCGCCAGCCCTCCAGGCCGTCGCGGACACAGCGTGCCCTGACGCGCTCCATGCCCTCGTTGGAGCTCTCGAGGATCTCCAACACTTCGGGTGGCGCCAACTTCCGCACCTGTGAAATCAGAAGCAAGCCAACTGCCAAGAGGTGAACGCACAGTTGTGCTGGGGGCACGCTCTAGGCTCCCGGCCGTCTTGGTCTGAGCAATGTCCTGTGCGGTGGTCAGGGCGATGGGCTTCTGCACTGCCATGTACCTGGCGATCGCAAGATATCGGCCGCACAGAAATATGCAAAGACAGCCGGGTGTCATTCGAATCCCTGATCTCAAACTAATGAAACCGGGCCCTGCGGCTTGAAAAGCCAGAGCAGGCTCTCTTTCTCACTCCGTCGCACTTGCTCGTGAGCTCTGCCAGCTTCAGCGCACCCAAAGCCTCTGCTGCCTGCGATGCCTCCGTGACCAACGCTGGGACGGTCACGCTTCGACTAAGCTGCCTCATGCATAAGGTAAGGATATAACTCAACATCAACATGCTCCCTCTTGCGATGTGAGGTTTCAGATGCATCTTCTCACTGCAATAAGGCCAACACCTTTTCAGGTTGCCCAGACCTTGGCAGCACAAAACTCGGCAAACGTGGCCAACCTGTGATTACCAAATATTCAGGTCATGCTCCAACTCTTCTACTGCTTCATTGGCTCTAACCCAAAGCCATGCCATCTCTGGGCATACCGGCATAGCTGCACATGCCGCCTGCGAGGATGCCACGTGGCGCATTCGAACAATCCTCCCTTGTGGTACTGAGCCCATCGTGCCGTCTCATTGCAACGCTTAAACAGCCGTTGATTGCCGTCTGTTTGGGGCATTTGCCAATCTGCGCAGCGAAGCTCATGGGATCGATTCATGGGCCCGAATGGCAACGCTCCCATGCCTCCACGGCTTTCTCAATGGAGCGCACTGCTGAAGTACCTGACGACAACTCTGGTCCAGGGCATTCATGCCTCATGCCGACTCATGCCAGCTTGTTCTAACTGAAACGCTTGAAAGTACACCCCATTTTGAGTGCGATTCTTCGGCTGTCATGACCCACCCCTTCTTGCATCCTCGGCACATCGCACATGTGCCCTGCTTATCCGCTTCAGTAGATCCTGAAGCAGCGGCTTGCCCGCAGACCTCAAGCCCAGGACAAAGTTGATTAGACTCGCTCGAAGCTCGGATTTGCCCTTGACCTTGGACTCTGTGGGTGTCTCCCGGGCAGAACTCTTGCCACGCTCTCCCACTGGCGCCCCCCACGGAGTACTTGCCAAGAGCTGCCGTGCCTGCGCCTTGGAAGGCTGAAGCACTGGGAGAACTCCATGCCAATGTCCAATCAGACTTCAGCCTTCGCTCCTTCTTCCCACATCCCTTGCCTTTTCATAGCCTCGCCTTCACCTCCTCCAACTCACTCAGCAGATGTGTCTTCTGTGCTTCGGACTCCTGCCAAAGGAGCATTGGAAGAAGGATCGCAACAGTTCGTGGGAACTATCTGGCAATGCATCGCCGCCTGTCACTCAAAACCAGTGAAATTGCTTGAAGACCTATCATAATCAAGCATCACTTGCAATCGCGACATGCTGGGGATGCTGAAGGTTAGCTACTGGCTGTTCCACTGCTCCCACATCAACACATCCCCGCATTCCCCTATGCTCCACATTACTACAAAGAGTTCGCAAATATAGCGCATCTTCCGCATCTCCTTCATCTGCATCATCTGCATCTCCAGCATCACGAGCATCACCAGCATCCCCAGCACCCCCAACATCATTTGCTTCACTATCACCCCCTTGCATCCCAGCACTTCGTCCATTGCCGGCATGCATCCTACATCCATGTCAGAGGGTATAGGATGCGAGGTTGAATGTGGTTTCAATGCTTGCCTGATGTGACAATGTTGCAGGAAACAGGGCGATGAATGATTATGTAGGCTTGCTATAGCCTTGCTAAACGAGGTAGTAGAACCACCTACAAGAATGGCCCATGGCGGTTTTGGGCGCTGCTCAGGTCGACTTTGTGTCCTTCAGCGCGTCAGGCGGCATCTCTGCCTGTGCTGTGGAGACAGAGCGATCTTGTCACTCACAAGGAATGCCAAGCAGTGGGTAAGGTAGATTGCTGCCAACACGCCTCTCACAAGCACCGACATCAATGCCGCCAGCAGGGTGCAAAGGACGATTACAGGATTCCAACACCTCTGCCCGCCTTTGCAGCCATCTTCTCCAACCCGTCGAGGGATGCCTACCGGGCAACAGGCCAATGAAAAAATGGACAAACCTCGCAACAACTTCTGCAGTGCAGGTTGAGATTCACGCTTGAGTTTATCCCTTCCAATATGCTCCTTGTTTGGCAAATGGGGTTCAACATGGAGGGTTCTGGGGCAGGCTTGCTCCGCACCTCTGCCCCTTCAAGCTTGGCACGGACAGGGGCAAGAAGCTCCTGCGGCGGTATATAGATCGGAAGTGGCAGGTAACAAAAGGTCTGTGCGAAACGGGACTGCGAAATGGCCAACCGGGATCGCAGTTTGGGCGTTTAGGATTGCGACAAATACAGCCTCATGTCAATCAAGGCACAGCCAGGATGGAAACTCAGCGGCCCAAAAGACAACTTTTGTGCTCTGGTCTAACTTGCCTTCGGGTTGAGCCCTGGTGAACTTCAGCCATCCAACGCTCCTCCTGCTCTCCTTTTTGAAGCAAGGCCAGGCGCTGGTCACGCTGAGCTGCCTCGCGCCGAAATTCGGAATTCCGAAACTCCCATGTGCTCAAAGTCGTCAAGACAGCATCTTGACACTGCGAAAAGTGTCGTCTTTCGAAGCTTGCCGCCACACATGAGATGATTGCTGTTCTGCCGGAGCATGTTGTCCAGGATTGCGCAGGGGGCTGCCACACTTCTGAGCAATGCCACCCCGCGCCTCTGCCTTTGCAAAGCTCCGCTTGGCCATGGCCAACTGGGCACGCGCCAGACACTGACACGAGTTGAGATGGGCAGGAATTTTAGTTAGGGACCCTTTGGTGGGCATCATTTAAGAGCGGATTCGTGTCTACCACTTTTGAGGTGGTTCCCTATTAAAATTCGTAGGATGTGCAGTGACAAATGCTGCTATGGGTACAGCATGCGCCTTCTTCTGCAGAAGCGAGAGCGCCGCCACCGGAATCTGCCGCAAGTCGAAGGCAACTTCGAAACGGTCTTGTTCTGTCAAGAGTCAACATCCAAACCGCTGTGGAGGGATGCCCTAGACTGAATAGAATGTTTGAACCCAAATGACACAGCGTGCTGTTTTTGGCGAACCCCACGGCAACCTGCAATCAGCCGGCAAAGAGCTTGTCGTTGCCTGAAGCTTGGGAGTCTGCTTCACCAGCTCTGCCCGCAGGTCTGCCCGCGCCTATGAGGCAATGGACTGGAATTCCCCATGCATTTCTCGCATTGTCCATGTGGCGAACGCCTCCAGAGACATTAAGCAAGCGAATGCCCAACTTAAATACAAAGTCTAGATTAGCTCCAAAGCATCTGCCCAAAATTCGGCAACCTGCTCATGCTGAAAAGGCACATCTAACCGGCGCCATGCCTCATCCTTCCCCGCAGCCACATCTTTTGCCTTCGGAAGGCCAAGTCATCCCACTCCGAACCATCAACTGATTGGGCAGCGTCGTTCGGAATCATGGCCTCTCTGTACATTTGGGACCCTCGCAACATCTCGCAACGTAAGACTTTCCTTTCAGAAAACGAAAGAGACGCCTTGCTGAAGCCCATGCCCAAGCCTGCTGGGCCAGCTCTGAGGCCCGTGGCTGCACGCGCGCAGACACCTCCTCATCGCGCAAAACGCGGAGCCACGGAACGTATCGCAAACCAAGTCTTAGCGGCTCGAGGATTTTTGATGCTAGCGACGCTTGTAGACGCGATGTCCGAGAAACTTCTCCTTGCTGCCTTTGCCGCTGCTCAAGGCAATCAGTGCGTGCATGCTGCTGTGCTGCCACGGCTGAGCAAGCTCCTCCTTACATCCTCTGCAAGTCTTCTGCCAGTACCGTGCATCTTATCGCATCCAATGCCTGCGCTGGCAAGGAATTTACCTTGGTGGGTGCTTCTGGCTGAGTCTAAGTCTTGTACGCTGCCCTTCGGAAAGCAATACAAGCAAAAAATAACCTGGCAATGGAACCACCCTGTCCTGCACAGCTCGTTCACGTTGCTCGCCTTGGAGTTGGGCTCAGAAGCACATGCCATGCCAGATATCCAGGCCAGCCGCTCAATGAAGCCAAGATCGAAATTGGCGAGGCCCGGACACCGGAACTCGAAGCTGGCACAGGGCCACAGGGGCAGCTTGCCCTGCCATTAAGTCTCTGCGCTCAGACTATCACGGACCGCCAGTCCGTCGCCCTCGACCTGCCTTGATCTTGGCAGTTGCGACTCCGACTGCTCCACAAGGCAGCTCCACCTCGCAAGGTAGCTCCACCACGCTGGTCACTTCTCGACTCGGCCAGAAGCCACTCCGTTTTGGCCTCTCTACAACAAAAACAACAACTGGCCCCTCTACAAAAAATACAACAACGACCACAATTCACAATGCGGGCCCCAAATTTGCTCTGCGACTGGCGCTGCGCCTCCAGCTCCTCCTCGTTCTCCGAGCGAATTGCCACAAGATCCCCAGGCTTCAACTGCACGGCGCATGGACTCGAATGAACGACCGGTCAGCTGCGAGAAAGTTGTTTGATCGCGGTCAACACTCTGTTGAAAGCACTCTTTCCAAGCACCTTTGTTGAAAGACACTCTGAAAAGCACACGCACATATTATGAATGTAGACACACAAAGAAAAATCTGTGAAAGGAAGAAACGAGTCTTGGGGTCCCTGGCCCTCTGGTACCCCCGGGCCCCCCCTGGCGCCCTGGCCTCCTCCCCTGACGCAAGCCGCCCCGAGGCGCCGCAGCGGGCGCAGCGCCGCAGCAGCTGCTGCAGCGCCTGGAGGTCCAGGGCCTCGCACCGAGGCGGGGGAGGGGGTGGGGGGCGGGGGCCGGCTGGAAAGAGCAGCTCAATTTCTTGGGCAAAGAGTTTCGGAGGATACACTTGTTGATGTCCCTTGCACGGAGGATTTCAGACAGTCAAACGAACAACACATATTGGCAAAGGACAGAGGTTGCAAAGGTGCCAAGGAACCCCACGCCCATGCTATGCATCTTCCCCAAATCTGCAGTCCTCTCGTGCCAGCCACGCAGATCGCTGCTCCTTCATCGGAGGGATTTGTTTGACTTTGCTTCTGATCACAACTGATCTGCATTTTCCCTGTCCTCTGATAGCTCCAGGTCCGGCTTCAAGGTCATCACATGTGAAAGCAGCGCTTCGGGAGCCTCAGAGGCACGAAAGGAGGTGCAAGGCAAGCATTCCACATACCGCTTGATGAAACAAAATCGGAATGCCATGAGGCGCTACTTTTCTGGCCGAATGGCAACGTGCCCGAATTGCGAGACACAGCTTGCCGAATGCTGGTGTCTTGCAATTGGCTGGATTCGACCACTTGATGCAAACCCTGTTTGAGGCCAGCACCACCCTCTGCTGGTTTCCACGCAGTTTTCGAAACAGCTGGGCTGCGTCACCCTGACATGGGCACAGCTTGCCCGAGTCCCGAGTCCCCGCAACCCCCGTCTGGGGCAGTTTTTGCCGTTTTCGTGCGAGCCACTCCCCCCAGTGCCTTGTCACGAAGCACAGCCGCCAGGGCTTCCTGGCAAAGCTCCTTAGTGGCGGCGCTTGCGACATCTGCTCCCTGCTCGCAATCTGGGCGTAGCCGTCCTAGCGCCAAGGGGCTGCTTGGATCGCGTCCGGCGCCAGTAGACTGCTAGCTGCCGCGTCTGCCTGCCGCACCTCAAGGCTTCGTGTGCGCGGGATGTGTTTTCCTTTCACCTCGTTCACCTCGTGATCGCCTTCCGCCTCAAACATACGTTTCTTGTTGCCACGTCTCACCGATTTTCGGCCCCCTCTGCCTCTGACTCCATTTCTTCGAGCGCTTTGTTGACCTGCCAGCTTTGTGCAGTCAGCAATCAACGCCTCTCTGGCTGAACCATTTACATAGGGGCCTGCAGGGCTGTGGGACATGACCACTGTGATACAACAGAAATTCCCAAAGACGAACCCCCCCATAAGGAGAAGATTCCCTTGTATCACGGTGCGGGATACATCCCGAGTGATCCCACAACCCTGCATGGGGGGTTCGTGTCCAACCACCTTTGAGGCTACCTCTTGACCGCATGGCCGCATAGCCGAAGCCCCACCGCCACCTGCCTCCAGGAGCACCCTGGGTGCCGCACAGCGGCGCTCGAGCTCCTAACTCCATCGAAGTCAGAGCCAAAACCCACGGGGGCCTTTGTTGGCGTTGCTTTTTCAAAAAAGATGCAACGGATGCACAATGGTTCAACGAATTGGGAAGCCCGGAGTGGCCTGCAGCTTCTGCTTGCAGCCGTTCAGCTTCACAGCCGCGCTCGTGAGCTTCGCCTGAAGCGGCAGGCTCTTGCAGGCCGCCAGGGCTTCTTTGGCCGAGGCCGCCTCAGCAAATGAAACAAGGCGTTCCGTACGGCTTCATGCTCTGGACTGAAAAAAAAATGAGAATCACGGCAATGAGTGGCTGCTCAAAAGAAGCAGATTGATTGTTGCCAGACTCCTGCAACTGAGGTGTGTACCAATTTCTCCGCATTCTGCACCTGTGTGCAGGCTGTCATTTTCACTGACCGGCCCAGCATGGGAAAGACATAAAGAATCCGTTTCGATTCATACATATCACTTCAACTTTTAGCAAGGCGACACGAAGCTTCCTTCAGGCCTCCTGCCGCCGACCCTGGCAGTGTTCCAACTCTTCCTCCTCAGTGCCTGGCTCCTGGACAGGATAGACGCATCAACCCCAAACTTGCCATCGCTCTCTTCACATAGTAAACTGTATGAACAGCTGCTGGCATTCTTCTTGCTAAGATACTACTTCTGAACCAGCTAGGAATCTTAAAACAAAATCTATAAATAAAAACGAGCATGTGCATCTTCATGCTCAAGGGCAAAGGCCCTGCCTGCCCAGCTGTTGCCTCCAGCTCCTCAGCAGCCTGCACAAACCAGATTCAACACGTGCTGCTGTCCATCATCAACTGGAGCGGAAGCTAATTGCAGCTGAATTCTATGAACAATGAGGTCTGTGTCCAGTGAAGAGGTCTACGACTTCTGTCAGCCCTGTCTGCCTTCTGGAAGGCGGTGATTCTGCGCTCCTACAGCCATGCCGCTTGCATCTCAAAGCACATTCGCAGAATCCTCGTCCATTTCATGCGAATTGGAAGCTCCCTCCGTCCCCCCCTCTCTCTCTCTCTCGATCTGCGCCCGAGATGCTGCGCTCTGCTGCAGCGTGGCTTTGCGCCGGGACTGCAGCGCCTGAGGGTGGCTAGGGCCAAGCAGTGGTAACAGCCGATCCCCACTTTCCACAAAGCTGAGGCTTCTCCCAGGACTTCCCAGACAGCCGGATTTGGAACCTTCTTGAGAGGTGTGTCGCCGGGTTAAGGTGAACACACAATTGAAAACGACAAGGAGCGTCTTGCCAAACTGCCCATCCCATTTCCCGCTTCCGGCCTTGCGCATCTGGGAGAGCTGCGACACCAGCTTCAGCAGCTCCGTGTTGCCCTTCGTCAGCTCCGCCTGCAGCTTCGCTGCCTTCGCCATGCTCCGCACGGCCTCAGCAAGCGAATTGCTTGGGAATGGTGCCCTCTGAAAACCGGGTGGGTGAAATACCGCAGATTTGGTTATGTTGCGTGTCTGAGGTTTATACTGCGTGTCGCGGCGTTTGGGTCCGAGCAATGTCGTCTGGTTTTTGCCAGTGCAAAAAGGAAGTACTGCTACAAATGTGGGCATTCTGACTATCGCAGTGTCTCGGTGCTCTGCAAAAATGCCAGCATCTCGCGATGGGGAAGAGTCAATGCAAGGAAAGACATCAAACATCATGTATGATTGCTGTCTTGTGGCCAAAATGTTGTAGTGGCTAGAATTGCCCTCTTACCTGCAGCCACGCAGCAAGACTCTTGCTGGCGATGAAGGTTCGGGCTTCTGAAACGCCAACCTGTGGGAATGGTATGTGATCAATTGCAGGCAGAAAGACAAACACGCGATCGCGGGATATCAACTGAATCACTTTCCCAGCCTCGAGCTTCTCAATGACCTGCTCTGTGGTGTTGAGAGCTGCTGTGGCCTCACAACAAGCACAGTCCCAAGCTGCGCAAGGCTTGCAATATCTTGCAATACTGCCACAAAAATCATCACACTTCTCCCCTGGCGCCTCTTCCTCTGGAATCACATCCAGACCTTTCAGGAAGGGCAGCTCCGCTTCCTCTGCCTGGCAAAACTTTGCCAAATCAGGCGGGCAACTTCGCTCATGGCGGCGAATGCCACGAATCCCGCCTCCCCGTCACCATGCCCCCCCCCCCCAAGGAAGCAACCCGGGTTCCCCCTTTTGCCCCGCGGCAAAGATCGCAGGTTTGACTCGGCCTGGCTGTGGAATCTCTGCAGCTCATCCAGGCGCTCCCGCATCTGCCGCAGCCAGGTCTCCGCCTGCGCGCCCTCGCGGCGCACCTGGCCAAAGCGCACGGCAGCTGGACACGCATTGCTTTGGCTCGGCCTTGGAGCCGGCCACCAGCTTGGCGAGCTGTGACTGCACCTGAGCAGAGCAAACATCTGACTCCAATCGTTTGCAGAGGTCCATCCAAGAGAAAAGACTTCCTTCACTGGCAACTGCTCAATACAAGTGCCCTTGGCCAGGTCGAACGTTGCACTTGTTCAGTAAATAAGCACTTTACAAAACACAGGTTGGAACTCCAGCTCAAACATGGCAGCATCCTAGTGAACATAAAAGTACACTTTGGCAGTTCGACCGTTTGTGTGGATTCTGTCGTCATCATGCCGTCTCTTCTTGATGTGCAGGAAACATGACCGAGGCAACCGTCAGGAATACGTTCGCGCACAAGTTTGGTAATAGCCTGCAAGGCGTGGCTGCAACCTAGACGATTGGGACGGGCCAGTGCCGCGCAGTCGTCTCCCTTTGGCAGAAGCGTCTCTCGCCTGGCGCTTCCTCTCGAGCAGTTCCTGCATCTGGCCCTTGAGCGTTGTGTCCACCGAAGCCAGCTGGGCGGCATTCATCGCCGCCTTTGTCAGGACAGCCGCGCGGAGAAGCAGACAAGTTGAGGTAAGAAGCAAACGCTATGAAGCTGGAGGCCCACATTCAGTCGGATCATGCTCCCGCAAGTCTGAGATTGATGTGGGGAGATCCCATCCGACGAACACGTGTGAACTGCTGTGTCTGCCTTGAGGTCCTTCTGGAAAGCCTCCACCAGCTTGTGCTCCTGCATCGCCAAACGCACCAAAATGTACTCTATGAAATGCCATAAGCCCCGCAGCATCTTCGCAGCATCTTCGTCTGCTTCTTCTTCTTCTTCTTCTTCTTCTTCTTCTTCTTCTTCTTCTTCTTCTTCCTTCTTCTTGTTCTTCCTCCCTCGCTCTCTCTCTAAGTGGCAATCCGGATGGCTACACCATGCTACACCCATCGTTCGCCTCGAGGATCTTCTCTTCAGTGGGATCCTCTGCAGAAGTCAGCTCCTCACGCAAGCCCGCAAGCCCGCAGAGTGGCTCTGGGCTTAACTTGCAGTGTTCCAACAACCCCTGCAAGATCTTTCGGCCAAGCACAGGCAATCAACCCAACAAACAAAAAGCTCGACCTTACCCAGAAAAGCCTGAAGTTGCTTACCACTAAAAATGGTCCTCCCAAAAAAGCACATATCAACGTCCAGGAAGTCCGGAGTGAGACCTTAACCCTCCCCAACCCAAACAGCACTCGTCCGGAGCGAGCGCCTGCAGCTGCTTCAGCCGCCCCTCCAAGTCCTCGGTCCGAGTGCGCCGCTCCTCGAGCACCTCCGCGCCTCGGCAATGCCATCGCAAGTGACCTTTCCAACCCGACAAGTTGCAACCACCCCGTTCTTTTTGCCAGCCCCCAATTTAAAAAATGAACCAAGAAGCCTAGCACAGTTGCAAAAGCTGTCCCTTGTTGCAGCCCCCTGCAAAAAAAAAAAATGAACGCCGATCCGGACACGATGTGTCATGATCAAAACTCCTTGCGGGGGCCGCGGTCATGGTCACTGTCAAGGGGTCCATGACCAGGTAACCCCAAGCCAAACCGTCGCTTGACCATGGTGCAAACAGCTGTGGCGTCAAATCACGAATCGACTGACAAAATCACAGTTGATCATGCATCCTTGAACCTGAGTGCCTCTTGACTGAAGCGCAGTAGGCACCTGAAAATCTTGCACGAAACACATCCAATGGTGCTTGTCCTCATGTCCGACCCAGGCACTCTTCACCAGATTGCTGGCTTGCGTGATGGCCACGCGGTGTTTGGTCGACTCCTGCGCGGCACGGCGGCCACACCATGACAGCCGAGGGCCAAATGTGTTTTTCACCGGAGGCCATGCTGCACCCACCGAATGCCAACTCACTGCTCCTGGTTCATTTTGGAGATGCGGACTTTCAGGTCCTCTTTTCGCGGCGGCGGGGCTTGAGAGCTGGCCTCAGCTACGATGGCAACCTTCGGCCTGCGATGGCTACCTGGGACCTACTGTGGATGGACGAAATCCGTTCGCACCACTTTGAAACCATGGCAGAAACCATAACGTTTGCTGGTATTTGCCTTGGGGAATGGAAGCATTCCAGTACAAATAAGGCAGCCAAGCCCCGGGCCAAGTGCTTCAATGCATTGGTCAGTGCTGCTTGAAGCTCCTAAGGCATGGTGGCGTTGCCTTGTCCGGTACAGATCAATCACACGCAAGGCCCTCATGTGGAAGAGGCAAGGCGTCCCTTGCCCAAATATTACAAGAACCCACAGGGAGCACTTCGCCATGGTGCATTGGGTTCTATGAGAATCCACCGTCGCACCCAATTTGACAGACTCCTGCTGCTTCTTGGGCGCCTTCTCCAGCACTTCCCGCAGCTCGGCCGCTGGCAACTCCACTCCCTGACATCATGGGTCTGCCGGGAAATGGCTTCCTCATGTTTCTCCTTGGCACCTCCCAAGGTGTGGCCACTGCCCAGGGGCTCCGCTGCTTTTGGTGAAACCGCATGCCCGTTTCATCCCTTCGCTCAACTTGATCTCTCGTGTCCTTCTGGAGCTGCTCCGTGCAGCCGGAGAGGTCATTCAACTTGGTCTCAGCCTGCTGTACCGCCAGCAGCACGTCCTGCGCTTCGAGTGTCGGTATTGCCGGGGCGTGTACCCTGCCATCGCCTTGCCCTCCCCAACTTACAGAAAAATATTCCCACTGCCAAGGCACTGCCAGCTCGCCCGTGTTTCTCCGCTGCTCCATTTCCTGGCAGGCATGGAATTGACCGAGAACCCGAGGCATGAACAAGTGCTTTGCCCAGTGAACGCGCTCTTCTTTCTTTCGGCCGCTTGCAGCAACACCAGTCCGGTGGCCCTCTCCAAGAATCCCGCCTGCTTGAAATCCTTCAGCTTCTGATACACAGTGTCCAGACCTTTGCAGGCCAAAAGAATCAGCATCCAATTGTCAACTAGGATGTTGTCCTATGCTGGGACGCCTCTCGAGCAAAATGCAGACTTCTGTTCCAGCGATGAAGCTGTCGCCGCTGAGTTCCCTGGCAGTCCAGTAGCTGCTGCAGCTCTTGCGCCGAGCTTTCCATGCTCAAGCGCTTCGCCTCGCACGCGACTGGCGAGAGGGCGGGCAACTGAATCCCAAAGCCAAGAACCACCAGACCACCGGGACCACCCCAGAGTAGATGACCCAAAAAACGCCCAAACTTTTTGTTTACCATCAAAATGGTCTAAACCCAAAAAGTGACTCAAGCCCAAGGACCTCCAACCAGCAAACCCCAAGAACCACCGAACCACCAAACCACACCGAGGCGCCTCTGCCAGCTTCGGGCGGATGAAGGCCTCCGCTTGCTTGGCCACCTTCTGCGCTGCAGCCTCCGCCGCCTCGCAGCCCCGGATCGCCTCCCGCGACTCCTGAACCGTCGAAGGTCAGCTGATGGACGACGTTTCAATCACACCTATGAACCACACATTAAATGGAAATGAAAACGGGGGGGGGGGGTTCAAGGGGGGAGGGGGGTAGCAATCTATGGATGAAACCAAAGTAGAAACCACGACGTGTGTTGGTATTTGCGTTGGGGAATCGAATCATTGCAGGGATTCTAAAGGGTGCGAAATGGACTTTTTCCATCAGAATGCTTGCTGGAGCCTCTGGTAGCCTGTGATTTCAAGATGTCAGTGATCAGTATCGCATGCGTGAACCATGTCTGACCTATCGTTGTCGCAAGCTGGTCTCCTCCTTCGGCAAAACCTCTATGCCTTTGAGGAAGGGAAGCTCAGCCTTGGCCATGGGAATTCCAGACCAGCAAGACAGACCCAGGCCTGCTAAAAACAATCATCAATTGGCCTCACCTCGCCTCACTTGACCTGACATTATCCTTGTATCAACCTGGCTCGAGGTAAAACATACACAAGCAAGAAGCGAATACCCTAAACAGCGGTGCCTGGTATGTGGGCTGAAGGCAAGCAGGCAGGACCTTCAACCCTGCCTCTGAGCAGTTCATGAGCATCTCTTCGGCTTGCGAGACCTTCGCTGCAGCCTGGCTGTGTCAAACACCTGACCGCAACTTCATAGGCCGTGACCAAGGATTGGGTTTCTTCTCGGGTGTGAGTCACTTTCATTGGAAAAACAAAGAATTTATCGAAGTGTCCCCCAGACACGAGAAGGAAGCCTTTTGCCCCGTTGCTGAAGCCTCCTAGTTATCCTACTTGCAGTCCGTTTCTCAAGTGACCATGTTGTCCCAGAAAGGGAAAAAAAAGGCGCCATCCCATCAGACTCTGGCTGAATTAACCCTTTTTCCGGCCTCCTCCAAGACCTTCTTGGAGGAGATCCCGGCACGCTGCTTGGCCACTTGCTTCAGGAGCTGCTCCACCTGCGAAAAATACTGAGGATGTCTCAAACCCGGAACTGTCAGCGGGGTCCCCGAAATGGGGGAACCGGCCGCGGCTTTGCATTTTGAATCCTCTTTCAAGCCTGAAAAGCAAAAGAAGCAAAACAAAGCTTCAAACGACCTTTGCCTCTGCCTCACCAAAATAGAACACCCGGTGCCATGCGCACCTTGCTCCTGAGCTCGTCCACCTTGGCCTTCAGCCGCGAGAGCTCACTGTGAAGGGCTTGTTTGCCCGTAGCGGCCTTCAGCCTGCAAGGTGACAAGTTAACTGTGGCTGCATTGAAATCTTCAACGTTCCCTTCGCCAGTCCTGTCTCTCTTATCAACTAGTTTGCGAAGCACGTCGCCAGGAACCGCTGCCCGCGACTGCTCAAACAAGCCACGAGATTGTGTTCTGTGCATGCATAAGAGTCATCTTCCAGACCCAAGCTCACTGCAATGCCCCCGATTCTCGACTTTGACGTAGATTGCCACATGCAGCGATTCCACTCTGGTGTATTCTATCCGACGTCATTGCTGTGCGGGCGAGCCCTCACACAACCCAAACCAAACAACCCAAACGACCCAAATGCACCTCGGCAAAAGCTGCTGATGGAGTTTCTGCAGCTGTGGCATCGCTTTGTTGAGCAGCTGGTTCGCGACTTCCACCTCCTCCTGCCAGGCTCCGCTGTAGGTCTCGGTTCGACGGTTCGAGGGGCGACTTCCAACAAATCACCCCCTCAGTCCTCGCACATCTGCATTTGGTCAGAAAGAGACGTCATCATGGCGACCTTCTCAACCTCACTGCTGAGCTGAGAATCTAAGATTTCACCCGAATTTCCTTTGGCTGAAACACACTCCGAATCTCCCACCTCCAGCTCAAGGCCGTTCAACTCCTTCTCCAGTGGTGCCACTGACTGCCGTGCCAGTGCACGCTCTTTGAAACGCAGGTTGAAAGTCTTCAGCTGCTCGAGCTGCTTGGTGGCCTGAGGCTGAGTAGGATGAGTACAAGGGACAAGGATCGTGCCCTTTCTGATGTTCGGCCTTTGCCTGAGTTGTGAGCATTGCATAGCAAGCTCTGTTTTCGCACACGGTCCTTTCAATCCCCGCTTGCTCACCCACATCAGAGTCGAAGTCTAAACATCCGGCTACACAGGAGCCCTCGAATCCCAATCAGCCCACTAAACACATCTATCAAGCCAAACCCCAGCTTAAAACGAGCACGGAAAATCTCGCTGGAAAAAGATCCACTGGACACTGGCCCAAACAAACACAAATGGCACCAACAAACACACACACACACAAGCAGCAACTCTTTCGACTTGACCCGGCCTCTTGGAGGCGCTGGTTCAATTGCGTGGACTGGGTCAGCCACTTCTGCCGCAAGGCCGCAGGCACCTGACGCGTCACCTGCACGAAATCCGGAGCTCGGCTCAATGCGGGCGCTCGATTTGGGGCAGAGAGGAAGACTGGTCCTGTCGTCCATGTGCCAAGTGCTTTTGCTCTTACGGACACAGCGGTCTTGAAGGCAAAACTAAGAAGCGAAATTATCAGCAACACTTATGATGTCACCATGCAGAGCGACATACCTGAGCAACATTCGCACAACACGTCTGAGTCGCGCATTTGGGCACCAAGCGGCACTTTCCAAAAAAAAGCCAACCGGCACTCTTCCACAGCACGAGACACCTCTGACTAACAATTCGCAGCGGCGCTTCTGCACGATACAACGTTGTTGAACAACACTTCCTAGAGAACTCTGAGTGATGCATGAGTGACATGCCTCACCAGCCCTTTGCCCGAGGGCCTTTGAGACACATGTGTGGGATTTTTGAGTGACTCGCCACGATTGTATCGCTGCCATAAACAAGAAAGGGTCCAATGCAAAGCTCCTGTTCATACTCCTCATCAACCCAACTGAGTGATACTTGCCACTGAAACATCCGAGAGCAACACTTTGACGATAAGCTTCTGAGCGTCAGTTTCGACTGGACACTTCTCAACGACGCGTCTGACTGATACTTTTGACTAGCTCTTCTGAACACTCCAGAGAAGGGCTTCCGAGCGGAAAATGAACTAACTTCTGAGCGATGCTGCATAGGCTTCTGAGCGACACAACACGAGAATTTCGACCAACACTCCGCAGCTCCTAGCCAACGCTTGTGGGTGACACGTTTGACTCTCAATGTTGAACGACGAGTTGAAGAAAAACAGGTACACTTCTTGCTTGACATATAATATGTTGGCAACACTTCTGAACAAGACCTTTTCCTGACACGCATATTACCTGTGAGCATCTTTGTCAAACTTTGAAGAACTACTGGCAGTGCTGTTGACTGGCAACTCTACTTGACACTACTTGGGAGCACTTCTAAAGCAACACTGTTGAAAAACACCTCTTAGAGCAACATTTGACCAAGGAAAGTCGGCAAACATGACTGACAAACTCGCCTGAGGGACAGTGCTAGATTACATGATTGACATGTTTGAGCAACATGCTTGAATGCGCTTGTGGCCGAAACTGCTGTGCGATGCTGACACACGGCAAGTGGAATTGCTGCTTGGCTGGGCTACACTTCTGGGCAACACTTCTGCAAGATACTCCTAAGCGTCAACCTGAGCCAATCTTGAGCTCCGCGAAATAGCAAGGTCATACTTGTGAGCAACACTCCAACATAGACCAACACTTACCAACGAACATCTTTGAGCGACGCTTCAATCCTGAACAACGCTGCCAACACACATACATATACATGGACATACACACACACAAACAAACAAACAAACAAACAAACAAACAAACAAACAAACAAACAAACAAACAAACAAACAAACAAGCAAGCACAAGCACCCTGGCGCACATATATCAAAGATGTTCGGTGCTACGCACTCAATACTAAGGCGCTTCAAGGACACTTTGAAGCAGCACTTGCAAGCCACATGAAAACACACCCGAGCAAATAAGACACGCGCCAAAACGCTGTTTGTTCGAAGGTGGACCAGGCTAAAGTCCACAAAGGCACGGGCGTCGTGCAAGAATACAACCACACGAGATTTCAATGTTGACCTGCCCAAGCTTCGCCGAAAACACAGCTCGACTTTCTTGTCAAAGTCCTCAGAGGGCAACATGTCAGAAGCACTGGCAGATATTGCAAAGAGTGCTGTGTTTGCCACGAAATTGCTCAACGCAGAACTCCTTCCTAAGCACAGGACAAGCTCCAAAGCACTGCATCTATCACGAAAAACAGTTGGGGCAGCCAAAGCCCTTGTGGAACAGTGCAGTAGTACGGGATTGCAGGACCAGTGTGACTTCGAGCAATTTCCGAACGAACTTGAAGCACAGTAAACCCTCGTTGTCTGACTCACATCCCGGCATGGCATGGCATGTTTTCAAGTTTCCCGTGTGGACGCATGCTCACTTGCGGCAATGCCACATGAACAGCTCCTCCCCAGACTACAGTAACCCCTCCAACAGCCTACGCCGTTGCTACGCCGAATCCCCGGTGGCTTCCCGTGCCTGTGAGAAGGTCGAGGAGTGGCGGCGCGCCGACGCCGCGTGCTGCAGAAGGTCCCGAGCAGCACTCTCCACCTCCCGGCCCCAGCGTCCAACAGTGCAGGTGCGGTCCCCAGTCCCCAGTCCAGGCCTCGAAGATTCCAACCTCCGATGGGGATTCCTCGTTCATTAACGGCTCCTTAGAGATGCGATAGTTCGGAAGGGACAAGCAATACTAGGAGTGCGCAGCATTCAAATTCCAGGGGTGGACTTGATATTGAATTGCATCGAGTATGTCTCTGGACAGCCTTGATAGAGACATAATCATATCTGTATCAAAGTTGATTTGATTGACTCTTTCATGGGCCATTGCCACACTGCCAATCAGACTCCTTGAAATCAACAGATGATGGATTGGTGGAAGCCCAGAGACCGCCAAGCTTCTGCCATGTCCAAGATGATGCGCAGAGACTCCTAGCTGTCAAGGAGAAGGACTGGAGCAATTAGTGAGACCTAGCGTCAGCCTACCTCAGGGCTCACCTAGGTGTCGTTCTGAGCAGGCATGTGAAGCCCCTAGAGTGTGGCCCATGCTCCTCGATTTCTTTCACTGCCTCCTCGGCGCTGGTAGCTTGCGCCTGTGGGTCGGTGTGCGCCACCTGCCAGTTTTTCAACGGATTTGCATCTCCTGGAGGACCTCCTGGTCAGTTTTTGTGGAATTTGTTCTTTCTATGAACTGCAGCTGTCAGCTTGGTGCGTGGTGCTTCGTGGTTCTCCTGTTCTGGCCCGGCCTGCGCCTGGGGCGCCTCGACTGGCGCCGGAGGCTGCGGCTCTTCAGCCTAAAGGAAAAGCTGGCACTGAGCCATGCTGTTCGCATTGCACGGCCATTGACGCTTCAATGCACGCGCTGGGGCTCTGACGGTCGTGGACTCAACCTTTACTTGAGTCATGAACACGCTCTTCGGCGGCTTCGCAGGCTGGCTCTTCGCAGGCTGGCTCTTCGCAGGCTCGTTCTTGGCGCCCGTCTTGGCAGACTCGTTCTTGGCCTCGGGCACAAAAGGAGTTGACGTCAAACACCAGCTCCTAATCCGATGAGAAATTAGAAATTAGATCTCAGGCCCACGCTTGCATTGTGGCAAGACTGACCTCACTCTGCAGAAGTGGCTGACCTACATCTTCCTACGATGCGAGTGCATCAAAACCTTAGGCTCCCATGAACCCCATCTCTACAATCTAGGAAACGCATGCCTTTGGGTGCATTGTCTGGGCTTCAAGTGCCTTTAAAGCTGCAGTTGCAGTTCTAGCCGGCAAACTTTTGGCAGACTTTGCCTTTGCGCAATCTGACGGGCTCAAAAGAACAGCAAACCGAGACAAACTCGCATCAAACATCGAATGCGAATGTATACTGATAGACTGTTCTGCACCACCATTTCAGCACCATGGAAAGAGCAAACCAAGACAAACCAACCATTTCAGCACAATCTCAAAAGAAAAGTAAACCAGACCGAGACAAAAAGAGCTTCTACCTTAGCACCTTCTGAGCTCCCTTAGCACATTCTAAGCTCAAAGCAACAAACCGAGACAAACTTGCATCAAACATCGAATGTGAATTGATACTGATAGACTGCTCTGCACCACCATTTCAGCACCATGGAAAGAGCAAACCAAACCAAACCAACCATTTCAGCACAATCTCAAAAGAAAAGTAAACCAGACCGAGACAAAAGAGCTTCTACCTTAGCACAATCTGAGCTCCATTAGCACATTCTAAGCTCAAAGGAACAACAAACCGAGACAAACTCGCATCAAACATCGAATGCGGATTGATACTGATAGACTGTTCTGCACCACCATCTCAGCACCATGGAAAGAGCAAACCAAGACAAACCAACCAGTTCAGCACAATCTCAAAAGAAAAGTAAACCAGACCGAGACAAAAAGAGCTTCTACCTTAGCACAATCTGAGCTCCATTAGCACATTCTAAGCTCAAAGGAACAACAACCCGAGACAAACTCGCATCAAACATCGAATGTGAATTGATACTGATAGACTGTTCTGCACCAACATTTCAGCACCATGGAAAGAGCAAAACAAAACAAACCAACCATTTCTGCAAAATTTCAAAAGAAAAGTAAACCAGACCGAAGTAAAAAGAGCTTCTACCTTAGCACCTTCTGAGCTCTCTTCGCACATTCTGAGCTCAAAGGAACAACAAACCGAGACAAACTCGCATCAAACATCGAATGCGGATTGATACTGATAGACTGTTCTGCACCACCATTTCAGCACCATGGAAAGAGCAAACCAAGACAAACCAACCATTTCAGCACAATCTCAAAAGAAAAGTAAACCAGACCGAGACAAAAAGAGCTTCTACCTTAGCACCTTCTGAGCTCCCTTAGCACATTCTAAGCTCAAAGCAACAAACCGAGACAAACTCGCATCAAACATCGAATGTGAATTGATACTGATAGACTGTTCTGCACCAACATTTCAGCACCATGGAAAGAGCAAAACAAAACAAACCAACCATTTCTGCAAAATTTCAAAAGAAAAGTAAACCAGATCGAAGTAAAAAGAGCTTCTACCTTAGCACCTTCTGAGCTCTCTTCGCACATTCTGAGCTCAAAGGAACAACAAACCGAGACAAACTCGCATCAAACATCGAATGCGGATTGATACTGATAGACTGTTCTGCACCACCATTTCAGCACCATGGAAAGAGCAAACCAAGACAAACCAACCATTTCAGCACAATATCAAAAGAAAGGTAAACCAGACCGAGACAAAAATAGCTTCTACCTTAGCACAATCTGAGCTCCATTAGCACAGTCTGAGCTCCCTTAGCACATTCTGAGCTCAGAGGAACCACGAACCGAGACAAATTGATACTGATAGACTGTTCTGCGCCACCATTCTAGCACCATGGAAACAGCAAACCAAGACACACCAACCATTTCAGCACAATCTCAAAAGAAAAGTAAACCAGACCAAGATCAAAAAAAGAAACTGTTTGCCTTAGCACACTCTGAGCTCTTTTCGCACATTTTTGAGCTCAAAGGAACAACAAACCGAGACAAACTCGCAGCAAGCAAGAAGCGAATGTGAATTGATACTGATGGACTGTTCTGCACCAACATTTCAGCACCATGGAAAGAGCAAAACAAAACAAACCAACCACTTCAGCACAATCTCAAAAGAAAAGTAAACCAGACCAAGACCAAAAACAGAAACTTGTTGCCTTAGCACACTCTGAGCTCTTTTCGCACATTCTGAGCTCAAAGGAATAACAAACCGAGACAAACTCGCATCAAGCAAGAAGCGAATGTGAATTGATACTGGTCGACTGTTCTGCACCACGATTTCAGCACCATGGAAAGAGCAAACAAAAACAAACCAACCACTTCAGCACAATCTCAAAAAGAAAAGTAAACCAGACCAAGATCAAAAAAAGAAACTGTTTGCCTTAGCACACTCTGAGCTCTTTTCGCACATTCTGAGCTCAAAGGAACAACAAACCAAGACAAACTCGCATCAAGCAAGAAGCGAATGTGAATTGATACTGATAGACTGTTCTGCACCAACATTTCAGCACCATGGAAAGAGCAAAACAAAACAAACCAACCACTTCAGCACAATCTCAAAAGAAAAGTAAACCAGACCAAGATCAAAAAAAGAAACTGTTTGCCTTAGCACACTTTGAGCTCTTTTCGCACATTCTGAGCTCAAAGTTATAACAATCCGAGACAAACTCGCATCAAGCAGCGAATGTGAATTGATACTGGTCGACTGTTCTGCACCACGATTTCAGCACCATGGAAAGAGCAGACAAAAACAAACCAACCACTTCAGCACAATCTCAAAAGAAAAGTAAACCAGACCGAGACAAAAAGAGCTTCTACCTTACAATCCTGAGCTCCCTTGGCACATGCTGAGCTCAAAGGAACAACAAACCGAGACAAACTCGCATCAAGCAAGAAGCGAATGTGAATTGATACTGATACACTGTTCTGCCTACCATTTCAGCACCACGGAAAGAGCAAAACAAAACAAAGCAACCATTTCAGCACAATCTGAAAAGAAAAGTAAACCAGACCGAGACAAAAAGAGCTTCTACCTTAGCACCTTCCGACCTCCAATAGCACATTCTGAGTTCAAAGGAACAACAAAGTGAGACAAACTCGCATCAAGCAGCGAATGTAAACTGATGCTGCTAGACGGTTCTGCACCACCTAAGCAACCAATAAAACCGAGAGCACACTGAGACAAACAAACCATTTCAGCACAATCTCAAAAGAAAAGTAAACCAGACCAAGACCAAAAAAAACACTTTTTGCCTTAGCACACTCTGAGCTCTTTTCGCACATTCTGAGCTCAAAGGAATAACAAACCGAGACAAACTCGCATCAAGCAAGAAGCGAATGTGAATTGATACTGATGGACTGTTCTGCACCACCATTTCAGCATCATGGAAAGAGCAAACCAAGACAAACCAACCATTTCAGCACAATCTCAAAAGAAAAGTAAACCAGACCGAGACAAAAAGAGCTTCTACCTTAGCACCTACTGAGCTCCCTTAGCACATTTTTGAGCTCAAAGGAACAACAAACCGAGACAAACTCGCATCAAGCAAGAAGCGAATGTGAATTGATACTGATAGACTGTTCTGCACCAACATTTCAGCACCATGGAAAGAGCAAAACAAAACAAACCAACCATTTCAGCACAATCTCAAAAGAAAAGTAAACCAGACCAAGATCAAAAAAAGAAACTGTTTGCCTTAGCACACTCTGAGCTCTTTTCGCACATTCTGAGCTCAAAGGAACAACAAACCGAGACAAACTCGCATCAAGCAAGAAGCGAATGTAAATTGATACTGATAGACTGTTCTGCCTACCATTTCAGCACCATGGAGAGAGCAAACCAAGACAAACCCTCCAGGCCTTTCGAAGCTGCGTGGCCAGCTGCGCCTGCATCGACCGCAGCTGGGTCTGCAGCTGCAGCAGCTGTTTTGAGTCTCCCTGGCGACTCTCGTCTGGCGGGGACGGAATCTTTGGTCTGACAACCCACGCGCTCTCCTATGACCTGAAAGTCAGCACACACATTCGCATTGCGCAAATATAGATTGTGCGATTGAATCTGTCTCCGTCTGGGTTAGTGCAAAGCTTCAGAAAATTGTACTATCAAGTGCAAAAGAGCTGACATTGCAGTAGAACTGGTGCAGCTACCTTTACAGTTTCTCACTTCTGGAGGGGCGCATGTTACACCGCTTTAAGGGGTCTGGCACCTTTCCGTCGACGTAAATCTGCTCTTCAGCTACTCGAAAATGGCAGTAGAACTGCAAATTATGTATTACTGCTGCAGAACTGCCTTTGCCGCGGAACTACAAGCACGATACAAGAAGGTGCCATGATGAAAGAAGGATAACTCCATTGTGGAAGTTCAAATTTTGCACACCAACAAAGTATTCAGCTTCTAAAATCAGGTTCACTCTGCAATCTTAGCAAAGCTCGGCTGCCGAGCTAACTTTCTCGAGAACTCCCAGAGCTTTCCATTCCCAAATATCCTTGCAGCAGATCCACAGTATTCCTCCAACACGTCAGAGGTTTCAAATAAAGAATACGTGTCACAGTGTAGAACTGCATAGCGCAGTGTCGGGCACGAATTGTTGTCGTGTGTCTTAAAGTGTGCCCTTTTCTTTGCTCACTCAGTGCCACTTCCGATCTTCCTCGAGGTGAAATAGCACCGGGTAAACTTTGGTGTATGATGTTTGCGTGCCAAATGTCCGGGCCTTGCGCTAGTCCAGAAGAGGCAACAGATTTTGCAACACACCTGCAGTGTCGTACAAATTTGTTTGAACAAATGCCAGACACAATGTTTGAGCCACATTCAGAACGCGACAGTATTAGTGTTGTTCCATCGAAGGGTTTCGGTTGCTTGCACATCTGAAAATATCCTTGAGCATTTGCCGAGCCTCAAAAACACACAGCCACTCCTTAAAGTTGCTGTCCCGGTGCAGGTGTCGCAGCTTCTAAGCTTGCCGCTCGTGTTGGTTATTCAAAGATGCGCGTGAGAGCTTTCTGCATACTATCAGGCCCCGTTTCAAAATGCGGGACTCACAACAATTGCCTTCCATATCATTATCAAACTTGCAAGTGTCTCTTGCAGGGCTTCGGGGCCTGGGCGAAAACAGAGGCGGCATTCTGTCAGAGGTGTGTTCTTTTCTGTGGTGCCTAACTCATCATGTACATACATGTGTGTAGTGTGACTATGTGTAGCCAAGCAGTATGTGTACACATGTGGATGTATGATATATGTATGTGTTGTATGTGTATATATGTATACGATCTGCAGTCATTCCATTCATTTCTCGTTTGGTTTCCCATTGGATCCTCAAGGTTTCGCAGGCATGTTTCCCCACAGGCTTCCCACCGGCTCATGGGTTGCCCAAGGATTCTCCCCACATGTCTCCCACCGATTCCATGGGAACCCGTGGAATACGGGGAACCTAAAAGATCCCATGAACGTCCGCGGGTTTCCTGGGGGCGGCAAAGCTATGGAGTTGCTTTGAAAGTCTTAGGATGTTTGCAGCGAGCACCATCAACCCCGTGCCACGAAGGCTCGCGACCTCAATTGTGGGCACTTCGGGTGGCATTGGCAAGGAGCATCTCGAGCGAGGAACAAAAGTAAAGGACGGAAAGTTTCAACTAGGCTGGCGAACACCTCCTGCCACTTTCTACTTCAGCGTCTTAGCTGGGATAGTTTGTTAGCACCATCCCTCTCGATGGCAACTTGCAGAACTGCTGTGAAGACGCAAAACAGCTACACCGCGTCCTGGCTTGCAGTCCTGCATTTCAAACATGGCCACGAGCTCGCTACCAGAAGGAACACAACAAGACATGATAGACCTCGACACTCGGTTTTCGGCTTTGGGAATCATATTTTGCAGGCAGGTCCCTGATTTTTCAATCCTGTCCAGCATTCACAAACACTTTGCAGCTGCTCAAAATGCATTCAAGCGCGCTTCCTGGAGTCAAGTTAAACTATTGAGTCTCTAAAAGGTTGCTTGTGGAATCTTCAATCTTAGAGCCAAAGCACTTGAACGTGTTCCAAACGACCGTGAAAGCTTGTTGGGAGTAGGGCGGCCAAACAAGGAGGGCTGGGGAACCCAAAGCCATTTCAAATCACCAAACGCAGGTGACAAACGAGGCTGGGGACACTGCTTGCGTCAGGGCTCATCGCAGGGAATCTTCCCAAGGCTTCCTCCCCAACGACACGGGGGACGCTCCTTATCGCTTCTCGCTGGGCCGGCACTCTCCGTCGGATCTGCCCGCAACTATCCAAACTCGTTCTTGCGAAGGTCTTACACGGTTGCGGAGGTCTCGACGGAGGTGTCGCAGAGGTCTCGCGATGTCTGCCCGTCTCGCGATGTCTGCACTGTGGCTTGCCTCTTTCGGCCTAAGCGTGGAGTAGCTGGATTTTTGTCGCGGGAGACTACACCTCTGCAAGACTTCTGCAAGACCTCAGCAAAAACCTCGGCGAGACCTCAGCGGGATCTCCACAGAGATTTCACACATCTCCAAGGAGTGTCCCCAAAGTCATCACGGCGCCATGCGTCACGCGCTAAACCTACTGGCAATTCGTCAGGCGCGCCTTCAGGCAAACGGACCGCCCTGCCTCTATGCGCCGGCGGAGTTTGCTCCAGAGACAGCAACAAGAACACCATTTTGCGCCAGTGAGATTTGGTTGGGCAAGAACGCGACGGCGCCGCTCGGGTGACAGAGCTTTCTGGTCTAAAGACAGCGCCAAGAAAATCCCCGGCTTGCCGTGGCAAAGGCTGCAAAGGTGCCTCGGACGGAGGGCGCTGGAGGCCGCACGCTGGTGGAGTTTCAATAGAAATCCCGCCGGCGCGTGGCCCCCGGCATCATATGTCACCACCACAGCGTTGTTGCCTGCGGCAAGCTAGGCTGACTGCCTGCCATTTTCTGTTGTAAATCAACATCCACGCTCCACACGCGAAGCACTCTGCGTTTGCTTGCTGCGTCGGCCTCAGGCTTGTTCAAGCCGCACGACTACGCCACGAAAACGGACAGCGCGCCTTCTCACCACTCTTGCCGGGCCAAATGCCACGTTATTTTGTGTGTTGTTGCGCGTTGTTGCGCGCTGGCACACAGCCTCCGCTCTCCGCCAAAGCAACACGCGCGGCCCCGCCTCATTCCGCGCTGGGCCGGGCAGACCTTTTTTGCGCCAAATTGGAGCGCTGGGAGGGCCACCACCTTTTTCAGAAGAATGGTCATATCTGGCGCTTTCCGAGTTGGCGACACGCGCCGCCCGCCTCTTCGGCGCACCAGTCTCCGCGGGTTCCTGCGTGCGGAACTAGACTACAACCCTGCTCCCCGAGACCCATCCACCCTTGTGCTTGGTATTCGTGGAACACGGCAAATGACTCGATTCTGCAGCTCATCACGGAGACGCAACGCACGCTGGAAAAGCGGCGCACAGCGCGCACGCCTGACGCAAAGCTGACTTTCGCGGGCTTCGAGGCACTGACGCTGAAGCATTTGTGTTTCCATTCCCCGCGGTCAGTTTGAACCGCTTGGCCAAACTGATCGCGAACCGCACAGTGAAGGGCGCCGCGATCCGCCCCATCATCGTCCTGATGATCCCCGTCAAAGACGGGCCCCCCGCTCCTCGCGACAGAGGGCGCTCAGCCCCTGCGCGCGCTCCACTGTTCGGGCGCTGGCGATTTACATCGTCACGCACACCGCCGCTGTCAGAGGTAACCATGTCCCTCCCAGACGCCGCTGCTCGCGCTGGCCGCGCTTCTTCTGAGGCTCTTCGGTGAGACCCCGTTCATGTATAAAGCGCTGGATGGTCGTAGTCCTTGTCTATTCTCTTTTCGTGACTTCCGACACACCTACTTGAGCATTTGCGAGGTACGGTAATCCGTTGCCTATCTCATCCGCACGTGTGTGGCACGCGAAGGATCTGTGTTTGATTGCACCCATTCTCCCACGTCAGGGGCAGTGACGGGATTGGTGCAGGTGATGCCGATTTGGATCACCTCTGGCTTTCATCCACCGTGAACTCAACAATTCCAGCCTGCCGGAGGCTGCTTGGCAATGTGCTGCAGCTGCGGGCTGCTGCAACTTGATGACCTTGACATTTAGACTGGCCACGCTTCACTTTTGCCACAGCCGTGAAACCACACGTCGCTTGGCAATGCTGCAACCTGGGCCATCTGAGGCCCCACTCCTGCCTTCTTCCAGCATGGACTGATTGCAAAAAGCTTCGTGCTGCCATTTTTCTGCTCATTTTGTAACGCTAATTTCTCGCATTAGTGGAGTGATGCTGGATTGGACCACCCAAAAAAGGCGCCCCAGCGATGGGAAGGGCGATCAAGCTCCACTTACGGTGTCTGCCCCATCTAGGCTAGAACACCACCACCCGCGAAGAGCAAGTGCCCACGAGAGCATGGGCGTGAGGTGCCACGACTTAGGAAAAGCGCGACAAGGGAAAGCGGCATTTACCAGCACGAGGCGGGCCGGCTTGATCCTGGCGGCGAGAGTCCGCCACCCACACACACGCGTCACCTGCCAACCCCTCAACGCCTGTGCGCGGCGTGCCTTGGTGCCGGCAATGCCGACGGATCCGGCCCGCAACAGGGAGTTGCATGCATTGCGGCGCACGTGGAGCACTGCAGTCAACTCTTGAACACAACTCCTAGATTTTGTGCTATCAGCATGCGCCTGCATGAAGTGAGCCTGCGCGGCCTTTCTGAGGCGGCGCTACAACTGATGTCGCGCAAGGGACGCTCGGAGCGTGTTCTACAAACCCACAGGTCAAAAGGTCACTGACTCACTCACTTGCCGTTTAAAGCTTTGGCGTTGCAAAGCAAATGTGAATGTTGTTTCATGTGTATCCCGAGCATGCGACCCGCTTGTACCGCACTGCTTCTTGTTGATGGCTTTCCTTTTGTGGGGGCAGTGTGTGTGCAAAAGCAAACTGATGCTCAATGTGTGTTGCCAGCGCAGCTTGATCATGCTTCTGGCAGAACTGTGCTGGTTGCTTCAGCTGCCCCAAGTGCGCTGGCCTGAAATATGCTAACCCTTCATTGCATGATGAACACAAAGCTTCAAACATGTGATCCCACCTTGGTTGTTGTCTGCCAAACTTGCACTGATCTATATTGGCTGACTCAATTCTGTCCAACTCGTTCTAGCCATTTCAAAAGCGATGGAGATCGTCAGTGGAGATCGTCAGTGTGGTGTGCCTGACACTTGAACCACCTCGGCTTGACATCTCTGACTGGTGAAGGTTCATACGTGAAAAGAAAGTACCTCAAACACATGCTTACACGGCTGTACTTGAGGATGGTGTCTGGACACTGCCTTTGTTAAACAAGCACTACATGTTCTGCATTCTGCGTTCAAAGCGTGAGGAGTATGAAGGTCCGTGTACTTGCAGACGCAAAATGATGAAATACAAAGTGGAATACAGGCAACACATGACCGATAGAATCAGAAAAGGATTGTGGGACGTAGCAGCACTTGAAGCTTGTCAACTGTGTGGGGCTGCCTAAAATGATCAGAATCTACGCAAGTCTCTAAAGACAATAGGTGGAACTCAACCGAGGGCTGCAGTGTGCGATCACTGTTCTCCTCGCTGTAGTACAAATGCCCCAACTATGCCCAACAAACCTCATGATATCAACATGTTCTTCTATACTGCATAAGTTCATTTGTCGCTACACTCATGCAATCATTGGGAGGAGCTGAGAGTCACAAAGAGGCACTAGCAATGGTGGGGCAGTCTTGCTATGATCAAGATAAGAAACAATGACAGCGAGCCACCGCATCCCACATCAAAAGTAGCAGCAATAAAAGGCGAATATCTACGTGATCGAGGAAGTCGAGCTTTGTGACCAATGTGCTGTTGTCTTAGATGTCCGGCAACTTGAATACATGTGGCAACTTCAATGCTCCCCAGCATTGACCCGTGTTCCGCCAGATGCTGAGGGAGGTGACAAAAAACAAACAGAAGGGTACGTCCTGGGCCCTGGGTGTTTGCACCCAAGAGGTTTTGTCATGGTTTCATGTGATTTGAGAAATTTAAATATATAAAAATCGTATTATTAAAGAAAAAGTTCCAGGAGAGATGCTTGGTTCTACCCACTTAGAAACCTCAAACCAAAAAACTATTAGAGAGAAAAAAAAGGGGGGGGGGGGGGAAGTTATAGAGATATTCAGGGTATACCAGTAATGTTCTCTGCAAAAACGTTTTGTTTCCCCCCCCCCCGAGGCTTTTTTTTGTTTCGATTTTCTATAAGTCATTGGAATCCTCATGCACATGTAATGTTAGCTACTAGATCTAGAAAAGGTCTGGAGTTGGGCAATAACATTTGTTGGTCTAACTGCCTTATCTGTAGAAATAAGAATAAATGATTCAACACTAGCTATAGCCAAATCAATAGTAGCTTTAGTTCCCAGAATATTATTTTATGGTCTTTGATAAATTTTCCTCAACTAAAGGCACATGTTTGTAAGCTGATGCATGAACCACTACATCTGAAAGGTAATCACTAAAAACACGGTGTAATGATTCTAATCACAAACAGAACATAAACTACTTGTTTATACTATAAAGAGAACATTCTTCAGAAAGTTTATATAAATTGAACTCACTATGATCGAGTAAAATTATATGCTTGGCTTCAGACTTAATTCATTCCCCAACAATTTCAGAGCCAATACTCCCCCCCCCTGCCCCTGTAATAAGGACTCTTTTCTCCTTAATAAAATATGAAATAGATTATGCGTCAAGAGTTGTCGAGTCTCTAGAAAGTAAATCATAAAGTGAACAGGCTTCAGCTGTGACATAAAACTCTCATCTTGAAGAACATCTTCTAGAGGTGGCATTATCTATATGTGTTTAACATTTGTCTCTAAATCGGTGTATATGTTTTAATAGTTGGGTTAGCTGATTTTGGCAATGCTATAACTGAAAAGGTCAAATCTTAAAGGTAGAAGTTTTATGCAATTCTATTTTTGAGAAAACTATTTTTACCATCTACGTTTCTGTTTTGTAAACATATATCATCATCAACATTTGTTTTTATCACATACCCTTTTGCATCAAGTTCCTGAGCCTGCGCCAGGATGATGTTTAATGTTAAAATATAGTAAGTGAGAAGTTGTTTTTTCAACGCAAGGAAAAAGTTCTTGACCAAAGACATTCTGAAAAACATATTTTAATGTACTGTCTAACGCACCTTGTGTTGTCTTTTTCTCGAGCAAAGCATTGTTACTTCTTTCTGATTAATTAGGTTTAATTTAAGTTGTTCAGTATCTTGATACAAATTTTCTATAGATATATCAATATCACTGTTGGAAATATTTGTTCATCAGGCCTCTGCAAAGAAACCAAGAAAATGAGAATGATTTGATTAATTCTGAAATATTGTTATGTGTTCTTTCCTTTTGGGCGCTAGTTTTGAATTGAGATATAACTTCAATCAAAAGATTAGGGCCAGTTTCAACGTTTGATTGATGAATGGTATAACCTTGTGTAATATATTGCTTTAATGTTCGTGTTGCCCATTTTCTGAACGTTGTACCTAAAAAATGAGTTATCCAAAACCCTACAGAATTGACATGTTTGGAGTTGTTGAGGTGCGGATTGGTGTTGAGTCAGTTGGTTTGCCTTGAAGTAACCTGTTTGAACGACTGCAAAAACAACCATTTCATATGGAAAACTCTAGGGCCCACAGCGTACCCCTCTCAAAAAAAAGCAAAACATATCGGGCAAGTACTGTAGAGTCAATCTTCGGCTGAATATCAAACAAATCGACAATATAGTTCACCTGGAATTCCAGCATGTATCCATCAAATGCACAGACTAACATATTCCTCGACATGCATATACTGACTCATCTGTAAAATCTTGAGACTCATGCGCTTCTGTGGATGGCAGGACGCCCGGATGCCAAAGCTGCGTGTAAATACTTGCAAAGGCTTGCATGTGCGTCTGTGTGTGCTTTTTTGTTTAAATGCTGTTGCTCCGAAAAATGGCGGCCGTGTTTTTTGCCGGCGTAATTTCAAGATTCAGTACTCGAGGAATCAAATCACCGAGCCAAAAAAAGCCAAGCCTAGAGCGATGTGCTGAGTGACGACGGTAAGGTAGGACGATGTATCATGTCTGAAACATACAATGCTTCAAATGTTGATGTTCTGAACTTTTGATAGGATGATATGCTTTTGGCTTATAATGTTTCAAAGTTCAGAACATGGACAATGCAGACAGTAGAACATACAGTTTTCTTCAGACAACGTACAGAATGTGGACAGTTACAGCATCACGCCACCATGTGTATGTGACGCCTACACCTGGAATAGTTGTTGAAAATGCGATGAAAACTGAGGAGCCCTTGGAAAGATTCACCTGCCTCGTTTGTACACCCAGCAAATCGAATTGTGCAGGTATGGTCATTTGTCCATAGGCAGTGATACAGAAGAGTGACGTCTAGCTGGTTTTTGTGCACGAACTGATAGACGAAGCTCTCACAAGTTAATCTCTATGCCTGAGAGGCAGTGACTGTTTGACACGGAAATCATAATACGCAAGTTGGGTGCTGACGTATGCTTGGGATTGCTCATACATATTGTGCGTAGAGCCTCACGTGAATCCATCAGTAATATGTGGAAGACACCTGGGCCAACTAATGAGCATGCTTGCGTATATGATGCAAAAATGAATGATTCGAGTACATGATGTTTTAGTAGCGCATACTGCAGCGACACGTGTCCTGCATTTAGACAACATTCAAGTTCATTCCCCGATCGGCTCCCAACTGTTTCATAACGCACATTCAACATGTCTATGTCAGCCTTGTTTTGCATAAAGCACCCCGGCATCTTGTGAGCTATAGTCTTTAAGCCTGGCCATACTGTTTTTCATGCTTAATGTGCTTGATGTGTATTTGAAAAGTTTTTCTTATAGACCTGCATATTTGAATTGTGACTGTTTTACTGACCTTCAATTAGCCATACAGTGAATGAGGTGTTTGCCTCTTGGCTTTTGGGCTGGAGTCTTTGACACGCGCTAATCGGGTAAGATTTGCAACATGAAACAACTTCTCCGAAACCCGAGGATCAACGAACCTTTGCGCTCACGCTTTGCAAACCGGTCGCCAATATTCACAAACGTTCCTTTCAGCCCTTTTACTTATGAAAAGCATGAAACAGGCCACAACAGAAAACAGGTTCTGGAGGCTTCCTCCCAAACTCCCAGAACACTGCCGGCGTGGCCCCTTCCGAGCGAGCAGCACCTTGGGTGACAGAAGCTTGGCCGCCGGAAAGCAACCTGACACCTCTGGAGAAAATGAGCCCAATGCAACGTTTTAAATGGAGATCGGGAAAACGCCGTCAAACAAACATGCGATCGCTTCAAACCCTAAAGTTCAAGCTGCAAGCGCCTAGATGAAGCACGATGCGACAAAAAAAGCCTTTGAGCGGATTGACCGTCGACAAACTCCGAAAAGGTCATGTTGCGCCCATCGTCAGGTCAAAGTAGGTCAAACTGCCCTAGTACCGAGAGTCATGCTTGAAACAAGCATGCGCCGCGACGCAGGTTTATTTTTCAACTAAGCAGGCGTGAGTTCATGCCGCCCGCGCATGTAACAAGGCCGCCAAATGGCCTTAATCAGACGACCGACAACATTTTAGCCCTGGTTGCTGCAGCAGGCTTGCCAGCTTACAGGCACACAAAAGTTCCCCCAATCTCGCTTTAAAACAAACAAATAGACAACAATCCATTGACAACAGAGGGAGGCGCCCCAATCTGCAGGGTAAGAGAAAGCGAGATTGCGAAGACGGCGAAGCTTAAAATCTGACGACAATTCCAGATGTAGAAACCGGCAGTGGCCGTGAAGATGAAAATCGAAGCTGAAACTGACAAAATCCGAAGCCGGAAATAGCGAAGACGATATTGCGGGGCCAAGCCCAAAATGCCTGCAAAAACAAGATTCAAAACCAAAAATAGCGACCAACATATTTGCCAGGCGAGGCCGAAAATGCCTGCGAAACGATCTGGAAGCCAGGTGTCGAAGTGACAGTCACGACGCACCCGTGGGCGACACAGGCAAGGCTATTAGGGGCGATGGTGACGTAGATGCCAATTCGAACACAGAGAGCGAGTTGGTTTCATGTGCGCGCTGTTTGTTGGAGTCCTGGAAGGACGCAAGTCGTGCAGGCGGTCCAAGTTTGATGGATAGATATGTTACAGTTCCAAGGTTCTTGTGACTGGCTCTGAGTGCGCCATTCTCAACAGATTCCAATCGCGTCGCGAAAGCCAACCAAGCCAAAACTGCCACGACTGCAGTTGCAACGCACAGCCGTAGGCCGAAAAAAGCAATTCTAGAGGCGTCGCCCACCAGGATGGCGCGGCGGAAGCGTCATTTCCCGAACCTTCCATTCAAATTGGAGTCCAACAAAATAATCTGATGAGAATCGCGCCAAGCCCGCCCGGGCTGCGACGAGCTCTCCAGTTCCAAAGAGCCATCTTTCAGGCTTTGGGGTGTCTGCCATAGTTCAACAGGCTCCTCGCAGATTTCGTGTCAGCTCCAAAGAGCAGTTCTTACACGTTTTACTGACATCGTATAGAACAGGGCCAACTGCAAACATTGTTCCTAAGGTTTGCAGCTGGCGTCGTGATTACAAGCTTGCAACACCCGGATGGACGAGGCCCGGCGCCGCCCCGGCAGCACATAAGTACAAAATTCTGAACGACTCGCGGTGCCGAATCAAAGAGGGTCCCTGTCACACAACTTGCAACTCTCAGAAGTACACCCTTTTGCATCATCTGCTCAGCATTCTGCAAGCTGTGGCCATAGTTGACGGAACTATTTGGACGGTCTACAGCCAAGCCGCCCGGCTGTACGCGCTGCATCGTCCACGAGCTTGCGACGTCCGCAGCCACTACGAGAACCTTAAACACACGACATGTCCTCCTCCGAGGACATAAGCCGTGTTTGGCACTGCTTGACAAGATGCCGCAGAATGGCACCAGCTTCAAAAAATAACGCGTTTTGCGCGTGACAAAGGGAATAGCGACGCAACTTCAGATGCGCTCGCTGACGCCGTGAACATTTGAGACCTCCCCGCAACAGGGAGCCCTCCAATGCAAAATGGAAAAAAACTCGGCTTCAGATGTCTAACAGGGAAACGTCCGGATTGAGACGCGCTGAGGCGCTGTGATGACCGCGCGACATCACTAAAGCTGAGTTCATGTCGAGCGTTTGCGTGGCCTGCCTTCGGATGCGAATGGTTCCATTGTCCAGCAGCATTCAGCAGCGTGCGCGTGTGAAAAATTAGCCCAGAGCTGAGATGGGGACGCTGGTTCCTGCTGATATCTGCTGGCAGGGTCTCGCCAGCATTTACATGCGCAACTATTTCGATGAAAGATGTTTGAAAGCGTTTCAAACATCTTTCCTGGCCAGAGGCCACGCGCATGTGAATGCAGACAAAGAAAAGACGCATAGCAGCGTTAGCGTACGGAGGCACGCCGAGCGAGTAAGAGAAAAGCTGCGGGTGAGAAGAACGCGCAAAAGCCACAGAAGCGAGCCAGCAACTCCACCCCTCTCGATCCCCCGCCCCGCGCAATCGCCCAAGCATGAGTCGCAACTGGCTCGCAACCAATTTTCCTTCACCTGCGCTGCGGCACAACGGTTCGCGGCGGCGCAATACTTTGTCGGGGTGACAGGCGAGAAAACAGACAGACTAGCAGATAGTTAAGAGGGATAAGTAGATAGATAGATAGATAGATAGATAGACAGATAGATAGATAGGTAGGTAGATAGATAGATCGATACATAAACAGCTAGGTAGCAGATAAAACAGCTAGGTAGATAGATGGAGAACAAGTAGGCGGCCAACTTTGTGGCAACTGAGCCCAGCATCAGGCAAAAACAGATGGCGAGGATACACGGAAACGCTTTGCTTTTGGCTCGCAGCGTCTAACCTCTGGTAGCTCAGCCTGACAGCCTGAGCAACATGTCTAGCTGGGAGAGATTGAACTGGCCAAGAAGTTCACTGGTCCAAACAAGCAGGGAACGCGTCACGCGCCTTTAAGCTGTTTAAATCACGTCAAGGGTATTGAGACCGTCTTCTGCTGTTTTGTTTCACCCAAGAAAGGCACATGACTTTGCCACAAGGGACCACTCAGAACACCTTCTCCTTGGCATAACAGCCCACTACCAGGTTTCAAGAACTTACCCAGCAACGCAAGGGCTTGCTTCCGAGAAAGGCAACTTCACACGTGCACTTGTCCGAAAGAGACCCGGCAATGACAAGGCGTTGTTACACCTGCTAAACCTAGCGCCTTTTTGGTATGTGAAACGCTTCTAAAAGTAACCCAAAAAGTCGCTAGGCACCTTCCGTGCACAATCTGACCTGGGATAGGTTGCGTCAGATCACATTTCACAAGACCAGCTGCAAGATACTCAAGATGTCATTAGTGTCATCCAATCGGAGCTCTCCAAGCCACCTACCAGAGATTGGGTAGGCACACACGGAGGCAAAAGACTGCTGAAGCCATGTGTTGGGGACGGGTGTGAAGTTAAAATGTTGTTGTTTTTCTGCAGGGTGGTGTTGACCATGGAAAAGCTGGCGACTCCAACAGACACCAAAAACACAATGGAGTAGGGGGTACCTTTTGCCAGCAACCCACCAAGCACGCAGGCTAGTCTGGAGTTTGTGCCCTGAAGATGCGCTGCCGCAGCTGGCAACAAACATAAACCGTGGCTCCTTCCGGAGCATGCCCTGCGACTGCGACGTGGTCGGGATCATCATCAATGATGGTCGGCTTTCGCAGCCTCCGATGTTGGATCGGTCTTTGAGGATGACTCTCGCGTCTGCAGCATGATTCAGCAGAAGCTCAGATCTGCTTTCGCTATTTTGAAGGGCAACCGAAGCTGAAGTGTTGCCTAAGGAAGAATGTCATTCAGGGCCAGCCCAGGAAGCCCAAAAACCAAAAATTGGATATTTGAGGGTTTTCGCAGCCAGTGCGATCTGGCGGAAGCTGCCTCTCCTTGGGCGGCGTGAGCAAGGGGGAGCCCCCGTTTGTATTGCAGCAAGCTGTCCTAGACGCTTTAGGTTCAAGTCCGCCTTCAACGGCAATCTTCGTTGGAAGCAGGCGTGAAAGTGAGTAAATTGCGCGAGCTGGGCGGTCGGTCCCGCAACCCGCATTTTCGACGCACCAACCACCCCTCAACCAAGGTGTTTGATGCGCCAGCCACTGCCCACCCAAGATTTTCGATGCACCAGCCACTGCCCAACCAACCAGTGTTTTCGACGCGCCAAGGTTTTCGATGCGCCAGCCACTGCCCAACCAAGGTTTTCGATGCGGAGGCACGTCCCTCGGCCTCTTGCTTACAACAATGACACCATCGCAAATCTCCAAAACCCATGTCGCAGCAAATCTTGGTGCATCGAAAACCTTGGTTGGACAATGGCTGGTGCGTCGAAAAGCTTGGTTGGGCAGCGGCTGGCGCATCGAAGACTTTGTTTGGGCAGTGGCTGGCTCATCGAAAACAGGCTTGGCCGTGCGTCGGCATGTTGGTTTTCTGCGGGCAACAACCCTGGAAGGCTTAAGCTCCCGAGTTGTTTCAATGGGCTAACATGTGTAGCGATGGGCGCAGGGAACCCCCGCCCATCGCTTGCGAGCTTTTCGCTTTCCTACTCACACCTGATTCCTCCAAAGATTGCCCTTTATAAAGGCACACTTGAACCTAAAGCGTCTAGGACAGCTCGCTGCAACATGAACGGGCTTGCCAACTCTTCCTTCTGCTCACGCCGCCCGAGGGAGTCAGCTCTGTGTTGCGCCAGATCGAATGGCTGCCAAGGTCTCCAAACATCCACGGCGCTTTGGCGCCGCAGTTTTTGCAGTCTGCGACTTCCGAGCGCTATGGTTTTCGGGCTTCCTGGGATGGCCCAACACTTCAGTTTCGGCTGCCCTTGTTTTTGGCGAACAAAGACTTGCACTTCTGCCGAAATACTTCGCTGCTGGCGCCAGAGCTATTCTCGAAGACTGGGTGTGAGCCAACCAGCATCGGAAAAGCTGATCATCACTAATCTACTTTTTGATGAATGGGATCGCATCGCGGTCGGCCACGGTTTATGTTTGTTGCCATCTGCGGCGGCGCATCTTCAAGGGACATGCTCAGGACTAGCCTGCCTGCCTGGTGGGTTGGTGCAAAAAGGTACCCCCTACTCCGTTGTGTTCTTGGTGTTCGTTGGAATCACCAGGTTTTCCACGGTCAACACTACATTTCTGGAGGGCTCGTGTTTGGTGCAAATGGCATGTCAAACGAAAGATTTGCCTCTGACTGGTTCCAGGCTTCCTGGTTAGTTCAATCTCTCCCGGCTAGACATGTTGCTCAGGCTGTCAGGCTGAGCTAACAGAGGTTACGCTCTGCGCAAAAGCAACGAGTTCCCCTGTGTCTTCGCCATCTGTTTTGGCCTGCGGCTGGCCTCAGTTGCCACAAACTAGGACTCAGCTACCGCCAATTAAAACAATAGTAGATTGACAGAAAGCGATAGATGGACCGGTAGGGTTGGCTGGTAGGGTTGGTGAAGTTAGTTCGCCCTTAGCAAGATAGGTAAATAGATAAACGGATAAGCTGGAGAGATGATAGAGAAAAGGAAGAGATAGGTAGCTAAACTGCTGATTGGTTTGCCGATAGATAGAAAAATGAATTGATTGATTGGCGGGTACGTAAAAAAAACAGGTTTGCACAAATGAGATTGCTAGATTGGTCTGAAACAGACAATCAAATGGAAATGTAAGTAGAGAGAAAGAAAGATAGACAATAGATAGATAGATAGACAGATAGATCGGTAGTTGGATTTGGCGAATAGAGAGATAGACCGGTCTGGGAGATAGACAGACACAGAGGGAGAGAAAGATACATAGGGTGATACATAAATGGGTAGATAGATAACAGATGAACGGGTTGGCTGAGAAGAGACAAGGTTTGACAAGTTTGGACAAGGGCAGATGAGGCTGTGTTAGATGGTAGGTGTTCAGGGTGCGCGTGTGTCCTCCAAGGCGCCTTGCTAGCCAAAGCAAAATCTGCCCAAACCTGCAGCTTCGGACCGAATAAACAGTCAGTTTCTTCAAGCATCGTGAACTTCAGCTTTGCGAACTCCGGTGTCAAACTTAAAGCGTCAATTTCAGCATCAGCTCTCGCAGGCTCACGACTTCGGGCGGCCAGGCTTCGAACGTCAGCCTCAGTTTGCGTCAGGTCTTGGAAGAAGCCTTCGTCGGCATGAGAACGCTCCAGCGCGCCGCGCTGGTCGCGCTGTTTGTGTGTATGTGTGTTTCGGGCCGTCAGTCTGGCGAAAGCGCACGTGTCAACAGCAACGCACGCCCGTGTGTTTCGATCGCCTCAGCCGCATTTTCAGGTTCAACCGCCTGGCAGCTTCAAGCGAAGACAAAAAATGCACGACAAAGCAAACTTGACAATAGTGCCAAAATTTGTTCAGGAGCATCAACCGGAGCTTAGTTTGCGCCAATGCCAGAAATTGAGCGCGCGTAAAAACTGTTTGGTTGCCTGAGCTGGCACGCAGAACAGCCCTTTTTGCGCAATATTTTTGTCGGCTCCCAAACCATGCCTGCGTTGGAAAAATCATTTTTGGGGTGGCCAGAGATAGCAACTTGCCTTTCACGCTTGCAAAGATTCAGCGTGACATGTCACAACGGAAAATGAAACAGCTCAGCACGCATCAGGCACTGGTCTAGGCAGTCTTGGAGCCCGTGCGGGGGCCCCCTTGTCACGGGGCAGGCCAATTTTTGGTGGCTCTGGAGCCCTTGTCGTTGCGTGAGAAGCTTAGCTTCCCGTTGAAACCTTGGCGGATGTCGAGGCCCAGGCACGCCTGCAATCGCGCGCATCAACAGGCTTTGCGGCTTGCTACGACAGCAAGTGAAGTCAGCAAAGAGCTCTTGCAAGCTCCTGCACTTTACTTGGTGCAGTTGCAGCCACTGCCGCAAAGTCTGCTGCACCTTCTTGCAGTTGTTGAAGGCCTCCTTGTTTCCGCGCTGGTCTGGGCAGCTTCTGAAGGCCTGGCTGACACTGCGCAGAAGCCCCAAATACCACAGGCAACTCCACCAGACTGCGTGAAGGCGACACATGCGGTTTCCCCAGGACGCGAGGCGGCGCCATCGTAAAAAAGCGACGCCGATTGTTGAGCGACAAAGTCTTCTCGATTGCCCGCAGACTTCAGGCCGGCGCAAGCTTGCGCGCGCACGCTGCTCGCACCATGACTCGAACGAACTCCTTCAAAGGCGGCTCCAGAGTCTGCACAGGCTTTGGCTCTTGCGCAGCAGTTCGCGCGGCGCTTTAGGCTGCAGGCGGAACCGAAACCGTGACACACTCCTTGGCGCGAACAACTTGCCCCGATGTGGCGCAGCCCCCGTTCTGCCTCAGGTAGAACAAAGCGCCGAAGCTTGTCAGGTCGTTTCTTAGAGGGCGCTTTTTGGACGCTTGCTGGGTAAAGTTTTTACGGTAAATGTTGTACAGCTACAGGCAAGCGCTTAAAACAGCAGGCTTGCTTGCTTCATGCGCTTGAAAGGTATGAACTTCGGTTCTCACGTCAATCGCCGAGCCAATCAACCCCACTCTGCGATTTGACATTTAGACCCTAAGAGTCTGTCACACGTGTACTTTGGCGCGACGACACATAGACATTCCCATGCTGACCTCGATAGGCCGCCACGCTGCAAGGTGGAAACACATGACGCATTTGTAAGTTGGAGATAGGAGGCGGAAGCTGCCAGGGACGATGAGAAGCTGGATGACCAAATTACATCAGCTACAAACGCCAGCTAGACATTGCGCGCCTCAACATAGTGTGAAAACCTGGCCTGGCCCTGTGTCGCTTGGCTGCAGGGAATTGCACAGTGTTGGGAGGGAAGTTGATGAGCAAATAAAAATGGTTGATGGCAGTGGCTGGGTTCCAAAACTTGGTGAGAACAATTCGGCTCTTTCCAAGCTTCTTTGTGCGGTATTGGTTTCTGTTTGATGGCCGATGAGAGGGCGGGGCCTGGGTCGGGATAAAAGAAGCTCACGAGGCCCACATCTTTAATCCAGCGCGCACCAAGAAATCAACACCCAAAGAGTTCAAACATGCCAGACGTGTCTCGGGCTCCACTCTTCCTTTCATAATTAACATTCAATATCATGCTTGAAGTGTGTCTAGTTGTTTCATCAATGTGCATATTACATGCTGGAAAATTGATCCGTTGCGCATGACATTCATGTCAATCTTGACATTACGTAAGACTCCAGGGTTGTAGTGGTTGGATGGCATGCCCCCTCCCGCCGCTGACCTTGCAAACTACCAAAAACCAAAAAAAGCAACTTTCGTGTCATGACTCACATACTGAGTATAACGCCGGCCCACTCAAGCGGGAACCTTATCCTGTTTGAATTCAAATACTGATCACCCTGTTGAATAGCACTGTACAAGAGAACTACAGTAGTGGGGCTGCTAGCTGAGTATCATCTATATGGGTCTCCTGGTGAGGTTGGTGCTGCTATGTCAGGCAAGTTGCGCCGATGTCTTGTCACTTTGGCGGTTCAGGTACTTCTGCTTTTCGTGCGTTGCAGTTCCAAGCCCTCTTGACAACCTTGCACCAACCCGCCCAACTGGAAGCCTGTACCAACCCAACGGCACATTCCAACCAAACAAAAAACAGCTGAATTTTGCTGAGACAGACCAAACCAAACCAAGCATGCCCAAGCAAACCCCCTCGCCATCTAGTCACATCTGCCCAACCCCGCCAACCCTATCAAACCCAGTCCGGCCCAAACCAACCAGCATCTAATCTAAGGCGAGAAGCAAAGCAATCGCAGTGGTGTTTATTCACCAGCATATTGAATGATCTTGACATGATACTATCCTACCTAGCCAGTGGACACACAGTTTTTGGGGAACAAGGAGCTACAACTATGTGTTTGATCCGTGAGGGTTGCTGCTGTGCACGAAGTGAGCAGCCACCATGAAAAGGAGTCACTGTGTAGCTGTCTTGTCCGCAAACAAGGCAGCAAAGCTGTCAGAACCCATCGGCCGGATTTCTTGCTTGTGGTTCAAAACTGTAACATAGCGACAAATGTGACACTTCAAAGCTGCAATCTTACAGCTTTGAGCGGTCCGACGCCGAATGGCAAGCACCGCTCATGATGTCTGCCAGCAATGGCATTGCTTCCTTGAAGCCACACCCTTGGATTTATCCAAGGAAATCACTTGAGCTCAACCCAACAATAGGCCGGGAAAAGGTGCGCAGCAGAGGAATAGAGCAAGAACACACTGAGCGTTCCTACAGTTTGGCGCACTCCTGAAAACTCTCAAGCTAAAGGCCACAGCCCCAGGCCCCCCTCATTCGTTTGAGTGCCACAGTGCCGAAGAAGCCTAAACTCCGAGCCTATCCTTCGCTTGTCACTCCTCCCCCAATCTCCCCCAATCGACTCCGCCCAGGTCCGAGCTCTGCCCGGGGCGCCGATGCGCAGCTCCGTGGTCCTGGAGGCCTGGAGCAGAAACTGCTGGCGCTGCTTCAGAAGCTCCAGGAGCTCCTGGCGGCGAAATGCGCGCGGCGCTTGGCGCTTGGCTCTTGGAGCTTGGAGCTTGGAGCTGGAACTGGGGAGACCAGAACAACACATGGCCCGAAGTTTAGTTGCAAAACCCTTTGCTGGACATTTAGGTGAAAAAACTCATGTCCACCACTTTGGAAGCCCTATTGAAATTGCGAGCCATTTGATTCCCCCTATTATACAGTAGAATTGGGGAAACCATTCGTTCCTCATTTGTTTGGATGCAGTTTGTAGGCAAGCAGGCGACTTTCCAACGTAGCTAACAACAAAGGGGAAGCCACCAACGGGGCCCCCGAAACTTTCCCATGCGTTGCCTTGAGCCTAGAAGGGCCTAAAAAAGCTCAAGGTGCTCCTTCATTTGCCAGCCTGCAGTTTTGGGAAAGCAAGAATCCGTATTGCAAAAGTTGTGAAATTTTGCTGAAAGAAGCAGAAAACTGCTAGGTACCTGGCGTGTAGACAGCCGTGGTGGTTTCAAGGGATTTTTCGGGCATGCACGCAGCGTTCTGCGTCGGCGTCACAGTGTGTTTCGCAGCACGCACTGTTTCTCTCTGGCGCAACGCACGTTTTTGAAGTCCAAAATGTTGCCCTATTGGAATGACATCACTGTAAACGTTTAATTGGGGGGGTTTTAAACAGGCACGTCCCCAAAAGGCCCAAAAGTTTGCTTCTTTTTTTTAAGGGGGAAGGGCTTGGCTCAAGATCACACTGCTGGCGAAAACATATACTTGACATGCAACTAAAAGGTGCCAAGTGATGCCCAGGTACTCCCGTGTCAATTGGAGTCGTGGGGAATTGGCACAGACCCAGCAAGCGTCTAGACAAAACAAAGGCAGAAGCAGTCAAAGCAGGGGCAAGGTAGCCACCAACCGTGCAAACGTACCGAGACCAGGCGGACGCAAGCGAATGAAGATGTTCAGTCAAAGAAGTAAAGCAAATCGGACCACGGTGGGAATCAATGGAGGCAAGAATTACGAATTCAAGCACAGAATCTCCACGCGAAATGGTGCAGAAAACGTCAAGATGATGGTCCAAATACAAGCAGACCAAACCCTCAAGAGAACCTCAGACCGGTTTAGGGGTGGAAACTAGCCAAACGCAAACGCACAGAAACAAAGACACTTCAAAGCATACGCATCCATGGCGCTCACATTGAGCCGAAACAAGAAATGACCCGTCTCGGCAGCCACCGCAAAACAAGACAGGGTGTTCCAAAAACTTGCGCCCAAAAATACAGCTCAACAGCCGAACCTTGACATCAATCCCCCCCCTCCCTCCCCCCCACCCCATAAGCCGCGCAAACAGCAGCTAAATTAGACAAAATGTTCCACACCAACACAAAAAGAAGTGCGCGCCAAAGGGCAAAACAAAAGCAAAAAAAAAGAGCTTAAAACACCACGGCCGTCTACACGCCGTGCACCAACTGCAAGTCTTTGGCTTGAGTTGGGTGAGTCACGACGCCAGCCAGTGGAGTTTCTGCAATCCGAGGCAGCTGAAGTCGCGCCTCCAACTGCTGGATGCCAGACTTGGCGCCCAGAACGGCTGTGCACCTAGTGGCCCATGAAGCCATGCGAGGCTGACGCCGGGCGCTGAAGTTGGGGCACGCTGTGTGCCGTCGACGGAGCACTGCTTCAAATGCCATCCCCTGGTTGTTGTCAAAGTGTGTTTGAAAGGACTCGTCCTTCGATCCAGATTAGACCCAATTCTTGAAGCAAAAAAAGAGGCAATAGGCCATGAACCCACCAGGCCTGTTGGCAACAAGACGTGCTGTTTCCGTGCGACTTGGGGTGGGCCGGCCTCTGCACCGCTGCCTTCACAAACTCCACCGCTTGCTCCACCTGCACGCTGGCACTGAACACCAAAAGGCCAGAAGGACGCACCCAGCACGACCCGTCGGAGCAAAGGCGCCAGTGGCTGGCCTCTTCGCGAGTCTTGTCCACAGCGCTTGTTTCAGGCTTCTGAGGCGTCTGAGTCTTCTGCGCCTTTGGACCCAACCAGAAATGGTTTTGGCCGGCTGTCAAGTGCCCAGATTCGAGTAAGGCCACTGCTTCAGAACCAACCGGGCTCTGCGCGCTCGTTGCAGCCTGCAAAGCAGAATCAGAAGGAAAGCCTGAAATCATGTGCGCAAGCTTCAAGGATCCACCAGCCCCATTTTGCAGAGCGCATTGCACGACTCGTTAAGTTGCATCGCTTGCCTCGCTTGTTCTAGTGTACTTTCCGTGAAGCCACACTTTGATGTGGGGTCTCCTGCCCATTTGTCAATCCAGCTGCCTGTTGCATGAGCCTCAAATAATTCTACTGTGGGAGCTAAGTGCAGAAACTAGCACTTGGGTGTGCCTGTTTTTGATGGTGCCCTTTTTTGGTGGTTGCAGGAAAGCCACCATTTTGGTTCTCCCACTTATCATTGTAAGGGCCGCCTGCAGCTCCACCAAGAGCTCATCTGGCGACTTCGGATCGTCCCAGGGCACCTGAAGCAACCCGATTCACCGGGCAAGAGACTGAACCCCAAGCGCTCAAGATGTGGCTGTGGGTCAAAATCAAACAACCAGGGGACCGCAGAATTTAGTTCATATGTCCATTTACCAGGGTTGAATTTTGGGTACCTCCCGCTGCCATGTGTTTTGTTCAGTGGGATGGGCACTCTCTGCCTGCATAAGTTGTTTGCGTTGCACGTGGCTGACGTCAGCTGCAAACTCGATGCACAGTCGCAGGACTCTGAAACCTTCATTGCTACGCCTGGCCTTCCAGCCCGTACGAGGCGGCGTCAGCGAATGCGCAGCGTGTCTTGCCCAAACCTTCACTCGCGTCATCAAAAGAAACTGTCCGAATACATTGTCTGAAGCTGCTCAAAAATGTTGCGTCGTTTGTCACCAGCCTGCAAGCCGCCCAGCTCGCTGCCAAACCACCAACCGCTTTGATCAACGCCGTCCCTGGCAAGGCTACTGCATCATCTCCAGGAGACTGAAAACCAGCCGCGTGAATCTCTCCCACAGATGTGGTTCATCATGAAGTGTCAGGAAGACATAGTTGGAAGCTACTCTTCCTGGCCACCTAAGCATCCCAGCCTCTTATCCCAGAAGTACAGGAAAACCTTGTCAGCCTTGGCATCCACCGGCGCAAGCCTTCCCTCTTACAAACAAAACCAGTGCAGCAACAGGAAATCCTGTAGAATGCCAGTGACTGAGTCATTTCCGGCCATGGGGCCACTCCCTTCGCTCAGGCTGACTGGCCCTCGGCTGAGCGCTGGTGACACCAACTTGGGCGCTGGCCCCAGTACCGATACGCTCATAGTACCTGGCACATCGATTGATAGGCAAAGGAATTGGGTTGCCTTTGCTGCTGCTGTTCTTGCTATTGGCCAGGTATTACTTGGCAACGTGATGCGAGCCAACCCACCAATATCATGAGAATTGCAGTTAGGCTACAGCGAGAATCGCACAGCTCGACTCTAACTGTGCCCCATGCCTCCTGCCATGGTTGGCACCAACATCCACGTAGTCACCAACCTGGGACAATGCTGGAAAATAGCTGGCCATATTGTAAGTATCAGCACACCAGCATGTGAAGCACTTAGCTTCAAACTTGATTTTGTAAGCGGGTTTTCGTCCACCCCAAAAGGGCCCGATGTGCATTTGTCCAAGAGCACAGGCCACACTGACTGAGATCCGCGCCAGAATGCTAATACCTCGTCTCAGCATTGCAATAAGTACAAGGTCCCAGCCTTTGAATTGATCTTCTCCGAATTCTAAAGTTGCAGCAGTATCGATTGCATTCTGCAAGAGTTGGGCAAAATCCAAGCCAGCATGTCTTGCCAAACATTTTCTCAACCAAATCCCAGCGCAAAAGCACGTGTGCCAACTGCAAATCATGTATGCTTGCCAGGATGCCGACAATGGTACAGGCCTGCCCAGGACTTGCTCGGCTTCAACCGACGCGAGAAAGAAACCACAAAGATCCAACAGCGAACATCATCAAAAGGAATGGTTCAGCTCAATACAGCTCCCGCCTCTGTCGTCGATACTTTGAGACCCGGCAGCTTCCCTGTGGCAGGGCTAGCTTGGCTAGCCTGGCTAGCCTGGACAGGGCCAGCCTGGCTCACATTTATGCATCGCTGAGCTGGGGGTCATTTTGGGTTTCTGGAAGTCGAGCGGCCAGACCATGCCCCCCTTCACACTCTCTCTCTCTCTCTCTCTCTCCCCCTCTCTCTCTCTCTCTCTCGCTCTCTCTCTCTCTCGCTCTCTCTCTCTCTCTCTCTCTCTCTCTTCCACATGAGGCTCGTGTCCCTGCGGCGCCTGGTGCGGACGCTGCGCCTGCTGCGCCTGCTGCGCCTGCTGCGCCTGCTGCGCCTGCTGCGGACGCTGCGCCTGCTGCGCCTGCTGCGGACGCTGCGCCGGCTGCGCCTGCTGCGGGCGCGGCGCTTGCTGCGCCTGCTGCGGACGCGGCACCTGCGGCGCCTGCTGCGGACGCTGCGCCTGCGGAGCCTGCAGCTCTGTCTTCACCTGGCTGTCACTTGTTTTAAGCAAGTTCTGCAAGGCCGGGCCACCTGCATTTCGCTCCTGCCTGCACGTTAGATGGCGCTCGCGGCACGACCTCCAGTGCACGTGATGAGCCATTCTACAAACGAAGCAGCTGAGTTCAACCTACATCAGTATACACCTCAAGCCTCTCTCTAATGCCCGACCCTCATCTAACTCGTGCCTGGGGCTGGAGTTGCGGCCTTGGGCTGACCGCGCTGACAGCCTCGGAGCAAAACGATTTCAAGTGTGGAAATCTGAACGCGCCACTGGGCACATGCCTGCAACAAAAAAGAGAACACAAACACAAAACATGGTGCATTCCTGAAGGGAACCTCCATGCGTGCATGTTGGCTGCGCAAGCCCAATGAACGGCTGTCTCTCTGAATTGTGGTTTCCACGTGCATCCACACATCATCGCATGCTTTGGCAAGCGTTCGCACGTCTGAGCATCTTCCTGTCGATGACTTTCCGAGCAAAGGCATCTGACCATCGACAATGCATCGTGGATATATGTGTTTGTCTGTTCATCCGCCCGTCCCTGCCTGTCACCACAGATCTTCACGCATAAATAAGTGCTTATCTTCGTTGCTCTTTCGTGTTTGCGCACGTCCTTGCAATAAGTGCTTATCTTCGTTGCTCTTTCGTGTTTGCGCACGTCCTTGCCTGTTTGTTAGTCACCTCTGCATTGTTGCATGTCTGTGGGACAGCACAAAATGCCTGTTCTTTGCAACACATGCCTCTTTTTGTGTGCTGCTTCCACTCTCACTTCGATGTGCGAAATGCGCGCTGCCTGTGGCCTCTCACTCCTATGTTCAAGCGCTTGTCTTGAGGGAAGGGGACAGCTGGATCTTCACCTGGTTTCTCCCGAGCTAAGTCGAATTCCCGCTGCGAGTCGCGCATTCCCGCCCATTAAGCCCATCCTTAAGCCTGAGCCCCGCGCCGGGGCCTTCTGGAGGCCAGGCCTGACAAGGAAACGTTGCCAGTTGGCTCCTTAAGCCTTCCATAGCCGTCCACTGACAAAGGTGTGCAAATGAGAATGTGGTGCCACATCGCTGGTCCAACTGAGCAGGAATGTTGTGTGTCATATTTTCTCTGAGCGGGAAGCATTTCTACAAGTTCACCTGTCCCCACCCCGCCTCCATGCAGGCCGGGGCGCTGCTCGGGGAATGGCTGGCGACCGCCCTGAATCACTGAAGAGATACGAAATTCATGCGAAAGGTGCAAAAGAGAATAGATATGAAGACACATGCGTGGAATCCCAGTTCAGGCGATTCGATTCGCTCGATAGCCCGAACCCCGGTTCAGCGCCTGGGATCGGCTGCCATGCCCTCACGCATTCGAGGCGAAGCTGGTTGCCATTTTCTTACATCCCCCTCACCTTGCCAAAGGCGTCGGGTGTGGCTCAAAAACTAGACACCTGGGGGTACGCAGGTTTTAGTCTACTTGCCTATTCTCCAGGGTTCCAATTCGCCCTTGTCTGACCCATCCGACGCAGTCAACCACCGTCTTTGCACCTCATACGCCGTCTTTGCACCTCATGCACCTCGCGTTTTCTGCCCTTTCAACGGCTACCCTTACCAGCCCAACAGCTCCCGCCTAGGCCTGGGCTGCGGCTGCATCGCGGTGCGTGGCTGGAGCAAAACGGAGCGAGCCGAGAGGATCCGTTGGCTGGGCAGACACTCTCCCGCCTGTGTTCGTGATGGCGGTGTGTACACAAAAACGCTTGCCGATAAAAGGAGACACCTGATTTGCAAATCACCAAGACTTTATGAGTCAGATTGTCTACGTATACGTGTATTTGTAAGTGTGTGTGCGCAGCTTGTATATCCTGTATGAATATGTATGTCTGTGTGTGGTTTGCGCTACTCCATCCAATTTCAAGCTGGATATCCATGCCTTCGGGCTGCTGGTCAACGGCTGAGCCGCTAAGCTGCGGCGCTGAAGAGAACAACCCTGGTGCCTCAAACCTCCTTGAGCAGGTACGCCTAGCCAAGATCTTCCCGGTCGAAAAGCCTGCTTCCACATTCCGCAAGCATGCAACGACAAAGTGGCTATCCGCAAAGGAGTCTTGTTAATGGAACCCACTTGAAAGGAAACAAACAGAAAAGCGCCCATTTCAGGGTTCTCCCAGTTAGAGACAAGCTCGCAACATACCAACTCTCCCACGTTTGTCTCTGCGGCTAATCATTTTAACCCCGACGAAAGCTTCGTGGAGTTCCAGCGCGAGAGCCACAAGAAGCTGCACGAGACGTCGCACGAGACGTTCGAGCCGAGTTGGGTGAGCGCCTATCGGCCGTCCTGCACCGATACGATTTCAACTCGCGCACCTTGAGGATCACATGGAGTCTGAAATGTGAGGGAGAGCTGCCATCAATCTGTATTGCATCCACAACCCTGAAGCGGCAGCCAGGGACCGGGATCAGCAAGGTTTCGTTCTCGTCTGGATATTTCGAGTATGGTTGTATATCGGCGCTCGTAATCGACTGCGGATGACGACGAATCTCGAACAGTACCGAAAACGTTCTGCAACCTTCCGCTTTGATGAGCAGCTGGTGAAGGCATTCCATTGGATAAGCTTTCCCTTGCGGCCAATGTACCAATTCACTTGTCTGGGATAAAGGTTACAGACGCGCCAAAGCGTCGCTGCGCCTTCCTGGAATTTAAATGCAAGGAATCTGATTGCTTTGCAAAGCTTCTCACTCCAACGATCCAAAACTTTGGTCACCTGGCTGTCTTCACTCTCACAATTGATGTTCTCAACCATGTAAAGGTTGAGTTCTCTGGAGTCGCGGGTGTAGTCTCTCAAGGCGTCTGCCCATTTCTTCGGAAGCCTTGAATCCTCTACATCCGCACATGAAACAGCCTCCCGGGCCAAGAACACGCAGTCTGGCAATCGCGGGCGCCCGGATCGAGGAGTGCAGTTTGGGTCTCTCATGTCAACGTTTGCCCGGGGGACGTACTCCTGCGGGCTGCCCCGTGGCATGGAAAGGTCAGCTGATGTCCTTTTATGCTTGGCCAAGTAACAGAATGCTTCAGTTTGCACTGGGTAACAGAACCATCTCCAAGTTGTAAGCCATGCTTCTATTCAACCCTTTAACGGCTGGAACTGGAAGCTCTCTGCTGATCTGAGCAGCTCCAATCGCAACATAAGGCAAAGCAGCAATCTGCGTATGACGGCCCCTCTCCGCTTTACCCTCCTCGATTCTAACCCCGTCCAAAGATTCCACGGGGCAGCCCGCAAAGCCCTCCCCAGAGCAGAGGGCAGCGTGCCTCTGTCTCCCGCGATCCTGCAAACGCAAACAGGATGCTGCTTGCTAAAACGACCAAGCAAGGCATGAGTTTTAAGCTACCAGGTAACAGTTACCACCTCTCCATCTTACAATGATGCTCTGAAAGCTATGAAGTGGCTACATCACAGGCAGACCGGCATCATTCAATACCGCTGCGTCTTGATCTCCCTAGGCTGATTCAGGAGGCTCGTCCCCGCACTGAACATGACACCACAGCCGTGCTTTGTCCACGCTTTAAAATTATTGGAATCACTTCTCATGCCAGGCAATGAAGCAGTGCCCAGCCCGCCTTGCCGCTTCCGCTGCAGACTGCACAGAGCGCACGAGGCATGTGACAGCACCTATTTGCTTTGAATGCCTCCAACAATCACGATGTCTTCGCAAGTATCGCACATACTTTCCACAAAGGAATGGTTCGCTGCAATACAAGCATGTTAACAATGATTGCAGTGTGGACTGCGGACACAGGTGACACAGGTGACTCAACAAGGACAGTTGGAGTAGGTCCAGCAGTTGCCTCAAAAACGGTACTTATCAATCGCATTTCGAGTCGAACAAAAGGATTACAGCGACAATTGAAAGCTGCCAACAGCCCTCCAACTCCAAACAATCATGAGAAAGTCGCTGTGGAGATTCCTCCAACCAAC